CTAGTCACTTTTTAGTAATGTTTTTGTATACTTTTTGCTGAACAACATAGTAGTATCATTTTAAAGCAATTTTCAAGGTGATTTTTAGGAGAGGTGCACTAACAATTTTTAGTAACATTCTTAGTTTTGATAAAAGGACATAGTAGGATGATTTTAAAGCCATATTTTTGAGAATTTTACTCTGAGATACTTATTAATATGTTAGACTATTATCAGGCAGCTAAAATAAATTATTATTTACATTATACTAAATTATTGACTGATATTAAATGGGAAAAGTTGATAGCACTGAATGCAATTTCCAATAAGTTGAGGAGACTATGCAAAAGTTATTTGAAAGATAGAGTGAATAAATTGAGTGTAAGTTGCACTACGTACGAGAGACTTATCTGAAAGTTATCCTAGAAATGAAAAACTTATTATGAAGTTATTTCTACTTTGGAATAGGTTTCAAATAACTTTCAGATAAGTCTCTTGTAAGCCATGCCACTTACACTAAAGTTATTCACTCCATCTTTCCAATAACATTCGCATACTCCTGCCAACTTATCGGAAATTGCATCCAGTGTAGGCGACATAGAGTATGTATAAGACTTATGTGATAACATAACATATTATTGTTATGAAGTGTGTCACATACTCTTATATACAATTATAAGATTTTTATAAACTACGATCAGATAACATCTTATAAGTAAGTCAAGATTATAATATTGTTAGAAGCTTACTATATATTACTAAGTAATAGACCAATTATTAAATAGCATTATAAACTATTATAATGCTTTCATTTAAAAAGCACTAGCATTTTTTGTAACTTTTTTGTATAGACATATAAATGGCATGCTGGACTGTTGCAATACTGTTACCAAATATTTGTAAGTAAAATATTAGATGAATAACATACTAAAATATTGTAATGCAGTTATTAATGATACTCAGAGTATCTAAATAATATTATAAGTCATTCTAATACTTTATTTCTTTTTGGTATCTGTATGAAATGAATTTTTACATAAATCTAATTAAAATAAAAACAGAGTTTCAGAGCTTCAAAAAAGTATACCCTAACAAGAAAGACTTGAGTTCTTTATACTTATTAGTATAACATCAAATTTTAGTAGATTTTCACCTAAAGTGACTGTTTTGAGTAAATACAAATGGTGAAACCTTTAAATATATATCAAATAAAAATACAATGCTATGCAATGGATCACTCTTCATAAGTAATCAACTACTAAGGAGTAATACAAAATGATTAATGTATGTGAAAACAATTAGATGATGAGAGAAAGGCAGGAACACAGGACCTCAGGAATCGTTCCTGCCATGGGATGTTTACTAAGGGATCAATTGCTGATTTATCATCTTAACGTGGTTCACCATTTATTAGGAGAGGGATGTGCTATATCTCCTTTGTGTGAATAATGTTCAGGATGCATGTAAGTAGCAAGTTAGAGATACAATTCAATTCCTGAGACACGAAGAGAATCATTCTTATAAGTGGTGGGCACATAGATTTTAATACTACTGAGGTTTACATCTTGAATTACTGTTTGCTTCTCTTATTTCACTCACTATAATGCACCAGCCTCTTATGGCTGCTGTATCACTTTTGTTGAGCCCAATTTATGCAAGTTGTGTTAGTTTGACCCTGGTTAGACCTAACCCAAAGTGCTAAATTAAAAAGGCAGGTCAACATGACCCATTTTTGGATTGCATCAACAGAATTTTCAAATTCTGCCCATTTCACAGCCTTAGCTTCTTGCTATAAAACTAACTTTGGTCTTTGCATCAAGCACACTCTGATATGTTATTTCTTCTTCGGCTGATCACCATTGCTGTCTATATATATCTAGCTTGCTATCAACAGCATTCATTACTTGATACACCACATTAGTAATAAGAAGAGAAAGTCAAAGAAGAAGTCTGCTACAGTAGATTCTAAGCAGTTATTAAATAAGATTAGTCTACACTTGCAGGAAAAACTCCGGAACTTGCCACACTATTGTATTAACCATCATTCAGATAAATTGTCCCTATTATTAGGCTGCCAGTTATGATTAAGAATAATGAAGCCACTGAATATGGTGTCATCAATGGTGCTGAAGGTATTGTAGTTGGCTGAAAGTCATGACTACTTACTCAAGATAAAATGACTCTTAATGCTCTTTTTGTAAAGTTGACTGCACCTTCATCTTCTATTCAATTAGATGGCTTACCTCTGAATGTTGTTCCTATTACACATCAAGTACAAGAAACTGACTGTGTAATGCCCAATAGTGCACACCTGCATATAAGCCGAGATCAAGTGGCAGTGATTTCAAACTTTGCAATGACAGACTTCAATTCTCAATGCAGAACTCTTCCAGATAATGTATGTAATTTTCAGAACTGACAAACACATCAATCTATCTATACCTGTCTATCACGAGGTTCAACATATGCCGGTACAATACTTGTGCGAGGATTTGATCCAGCAAAGCTTACTGGTGGCATAACTACTTAAGACAAGAATTTTGAGACTTGGAACTGTTAGATGAAATAACTAGGCTGCAGTACAGTAAGAAATTGCCTGCATTTATTGATGGTCCTACTTGTGGTGCAGTCATACATATCATACATGAAAAGGCCAAGATTATACTTGTGGGGAGTGGGCCACTGCTTTGCATGAGCTACTGCAGTTCAACACAATAAATCCTCATTTACACCCTTCCCAAAAAGAATAAGTGTCACATGCACAGAAAATAACACACTCACAACATATAAGATATTTGTACACAATGTACCATCTGCAAAGGTGCATTTTCTATTGTAGGATTACCACTTCTATATAGGCCTCAGTAGATTCACGCACCTATATAGCCCTATGTAGGACCGTGTAGAACAATGATCACTATGTAGGACTCGGGAGAATTTTGAATCTAGTGAATCTTTCGACAATTTGTGTGTTGCTTATTACTTGCTCCTGTACTCCCCTTTGCCTGTTCCATAGTCCTGCTGGAGTTGCTTGACATTTGCTCTGCAAATCCTCGCCACCTGCGCCCTAACAGGACCTTTGATACACACAGGTCAGGAAGGTCTTCAGCATCTGCACATCGAGGGTGGCATCACTGACCTGAGTTGTTTCTTCCAGAGGTGCAGCTGACTTGGATAAAGGTGTATGCTATCTTGCTTTCAGTACCACCATGCTTACTAATGATGCTGCTTACTTGCTAATAAGGAGGAGGTCAATTTCTTCGGTCTAGTGAGTATGGATGGTGGGGCGGAAGGAATGGTGAGTATGACACCTGTCTTGTCTTGACCCCCTGTTCTCTCGGGCCCTATGTTACCCGCTTCTTACCATAGTAAAATCACTGTTAGCTGTGATGCTCTATGTACCTCAAATTCTCCAATAGATAAGATACACCTGCCAGAATCTCATTTCATATGAATCATACCTGGAACTGAAGCAAGTTGTCAACCGGCTGCTTCAGTTGTCGGACCAAAAGGTGCCGCAGGGCATGCTGACATGTCCATCTGTAATCCTAAAGATAGATTTTCTGCGTGTCTACAGGTGGCTACAGGCCTATCGCACAATGCTGCTACAAGTCTATATTGACCTACCGTAGGGCATCCTGTTCTACAGAGCTCTATATACAGGGGACTTGGCAATGAGACTCGTAGTGCCTAGCCAAGCTACATAGTGCTATGTAGACTTCTTGCAACTTTCAGATGACTGCAGCAGCTAGATAAAAACATATCATCCATATCAGAACAATAATCCCATTGAGATGAGAAGAATAATGTAATGCAAGGCACATTAGGCGCACGATTCACGACGAGAAGAACAATGTAATGCAAGGCACATTAGGCGCACGATTCACACAAGAAGAACTAACACTGTCAGTATGGATGTCAATATAATCAGAAGAACAAGCAGCAGTGACTATAAATGCAACAAATATCAACACACAATCAGCATTTAAACAACACATGCTCACCATGGTTGTTCACCATGGGCGATACACACCAATGATATCCAGAAACATTGCAGTATCACTCCACAGGAGGACCAAGCAACAATCCCCCTTCGACTGTTGCACTACATGTCTCAACTCAATCCAATCCCAACACTATATTAAATGATCTCAGGAAAACCCAACTTCTACTTAAAGGTGTTCTTATGTGACTTAAATGCACTTATGGGCCTTAAATAAGGTAAAAAAGGACAAAAAGTTCATAAGTCATATTTCCTTAGAGACTTAAAAGTCGACTTTTGGAAACTTATGGGCCTTAAATAAGGCAAAAAAGGACAAAAAGTCGGAATAAGTCCCATAAGTCAAAGTTGGGTTTTCCTGATGGGCCAGTAGACAATGTTCATGCAAAAGTTCAACTGGTACCATCCAAGAATGGTGGGAATGCAGATAGGACCCGATGCAACACAAGACACATCATGAACATCATACACCACTGTATATGGAAAGCAAGATGATATTATGGATGACAGCTGAGTATTGTTGATGAGACACAGAAATTCTGTAGTAAGATCCACACAAAGCAAGACATGTTTTACAATGTGGTTGAATGTTATACAGAAAAAGTCAAAGAAACACAAGCACAGAGTCGGTAAATAGATGTGATGACAACATGACTTTTGCAAAATTGGATGACACATCGAAATCTAGCACGATGCAAGACCCACTACCAAAGGTAGCGGGAACAATGTGACACTATTCTCTTTTCCTGTTAAAAATGATCAAGCCAGTGCATAGACAACATAAATCAAATTGGTACAATGGTGCAATGGTACACGGTTAAGAAAAAGTAATACCAGATCATGCATGCACTGCGTACTCGTACAAGCTGTCCAAGGCAAGGAGATATTCTTCGCAGTACTCGCTTTTAGTCCCGCATGCTGCATATTCATACAAGTCGTCCACAACTAGAAGATATTCTTCGCAGCTCTCGCTTTTGATTCTTATTCATAGGTAAGCCATGTGAGCTCATGCAACGAACCCTCAGTAGGATGATGGGTGCTTCAGGAGAGTCTGCAACTGGCAGAGTCAAAGGTCAGGAAACCCTCGAGTATGAGCAAAGCAAGGAAGCGCGACGTACCCCGCCGTCGATGAGCACCGTCTCGCCGTTGACATACCAGTTCGCAACCAAGCACAGCGCGAGCGCGCCCATATCTCTGTTCGAGCCCCCCAGGACCGGCTGCGGACCGGGCTGCACCATGGGGATCTCGAACGGGAACCCACCGTCGGGCGGGAGGCGCGTCCGCCCGAGCTCGTCTACCAGGCCCGCCGTGGTCAGCGGTGTGAGGAAGAGCCCTGCGGTGGGTGTCAGTGGTCAGGGAGTAATAGGCAAAAGAAGTTGGTTAGGCGGGAGAGGGCGTACCGGGCGCGATTCCGTTCACGCGGATGCCAAGCGGGAGGAGCTCGTGTGCGAGTGAGGATGTCGCGTGCCCAATGGCGGACTTGGAGAACATGTACGGGTATGAGTATACTGCGGTTGCCGAGTCCTATCCCACAACAAATAAGCACGCCTCTGTGCAACGCGAGGCAAGGGAAAGAGTAAGGCGCGCACCTTCGTCCATCCATTCATGCTGGACGTCATGATAACCTGCGGCGCGAACGCGCGTGGGCCAGTCGTGTGCTCCTTCCACTTCTCAAGCAGCGGGAGAAAGGCAAAGGTGAGCCAGTATGCGCCGACCGCGTTCGTGGCCAGCATGTTGGGGAAAGCGTCCTCAGGAACACCGTCGAAGAAGGCCTTGCGGAACTCCGCCGCAGTGGGCGCCCCAGGCCGCAGGGCGTATGCACCCGTGGTCCTGGCGTCGGTCAGTGGAGATGGACGTTGTGCCCGCGACGAAGTACTCACCCTGCATTGTTGAAGAGCACGGTGACATGCCGCTCGCGCCTTCCTACTTCTTCTGCGAGTCGCACGGCCTCGGACTGCAAAAAGCGCGGTGATCATTAAACCAGAAATCAGTGGAGGACGTAACCACATACCTTGTGGCTGATGTCTCCCTCGATGCCATACAGCCGTCCGACTTTTCCGGACGACTGGGCAGCATCATTGTAGACCTTGGCGATCCTACGTGGACATGGTGTCGTGAAGGAAGTAAACATGTCAAGCTCGGGGAGCTTACTTGTCTAGATCAGCTTGTTTCGGACCAATGATGTACACGGTCGCGCCGTTCGCCATCAGAGTGGTGCTGATCATAAGGCCAATCCCCTGCGAGACAGTTCAGCGACAGAAGTCCACACGGCGACGACGATTGACCGAACATACCGAGCCGCCACCAGTGACCACAGCGACAACACCGCGGAGATCGAAGAGATTACTGGCGGAGAGGTCGGTGAGCACAGCGTCAGCCATCGTAAAGAGTAAGTGGACTAGGGAATCACGGAGGACGTTGTGGGCGACTTTATAGTACTCCACCGTGCCGAGAAGACCATTTCTGGGCCTGCCGACCATTTTTGTTGTGCTATGGCCGTCTACTTTCCCATGACGCAGTGGTGCTCGCCCCTCCGGTGAAGCGTCTCCCAATCTTTGCGCACGGGCCAAGCGCGCTAGGCAGTCTTCGCGAAGTTGTAGCCGCCGTACTTGAGATAAGAAAACAGACTGCCTGCAGGTTCGGCGTGTTTGGTCTTCCAGTAGCTGGAGGAACACACTGTGTTCAGAACCAGTTTTCTTGTCGCTTTCGATGGCGGACCGCCAGATAGGTGGGGATACTTGCCCTGTTCAATAATGTCCCTCCCTACTTTCCCTACTCTCGCCTTGACACTCGTCGTGATCTTCGGCATGATGTAAAAGATGTGCCAAAAATATCTCAACACTTTGCATTCAAGATCGTACAGGCATTCTTCATAGGAAAGGCTCCAGTATTCTTCGGGGCACGATTAGCTTTCAAACCATCCAAAATTCAAGCATAATGAGGGAAGCCCACATCCACAGAGCAGAGCGCGAACAACCGCAAACTCTGATCTAGCCGGGATGCGGGTCTAAAATAAGGCGCCTGTCGAAAAAGACTGGAATAATGATAATAGCACAAACACTCAACTGCGTTCAACCCCGATCATGAACGGCCCTCCGAGCGTGTGGACCGTCTGTTCATCAACATGAGCGCTTCGACTTCCGAAGTTTAGCACCACCCTGTCGAACCCCCCGTTGAACCTCCTGGGATTCCGAATCTCGCTTCCGTTTCGAACTCCTGTTTACAGCTGTGGCCTGAATTCAGATTGAGGCCTTCCGATTTCGTGCCTTCTTGCTTTCGGGCACCTGATCCACAGTAGCAATCGCGCCATCTGCAAGGTCGGCATGGCCAACCTCTTCAGTCTCCACGTAAGGCTTGAACGAGACCGCACAATCGGCGTCTGGCCAGCTGTCCATCTTCAGGGCCGTCTCGAACTTCTCCAACATAGCCTCGTATGTGAGCAACATACCGGGTCCTTCCAACGTCGACTGGCCGCGATAGCATAACATGGTGAGCTCTCGCAGCAGCCACGTCAGAGGCGAATTTCCGGAACAGTGAGGGTCTTCGGTTTGTTCAGCCACGCTCACTTCTGGGAGGCACATACTGAGTCTTTATCATAGAACATTGCTGTGTGCCTTCGGGATCACCGTGCACAGTGTGTCGGAGGACGAGCTTGATCAAAAGCCAGTAGAAGGATTCCAAGTCATGATGTGCACCACGAATGACACTCTTCTCTTCGAGCAACTCGATCGACATGAAGGCGTATGTTCCCTGGCAGTAGCCCTTAGCACACGATCATTCTTCAGATACAGAAAGTAAGACCAACCGTTCGTTCCTTTAGAAAGTCATTCTGATTTGCATCAGGTCTCGTCGGGTCATCATGTCCACCATGGACACCTGGCATGAAACTGCTGTAGTCGAAGTCGCCGATGAACCCCTTGTACGGCTTGTCCTCAATCATATAGACATTGCCTTCGCTGACGTCACGATGTAACACGCCAGTGCTGTAAGTCTGTTGGTGACCTATACGGGGAATGCACATGAACTTAAATTAACCCCGTCTCCCTAGGTAGAGAACGGCGCGTACCTTTGATCGCATCGCACAACGCCTCGACCATCCGTTTCGTCCGACTAAAATTTGACAAAGGTATGCCTAGCGTCTCCATAATCAATCGCATATGCCGGCGATCGTTCTCATCTGCATACTTGGGATCACGGACAAATGCCGACAGGGTTCGGTGCCCTTCCAGAGTAGCGCAGTCAAAGAAAGCGGGCGGAGATGGAGATACAACTGGGTTAAACGGATTCTGCTCCTCTGGTTCTGGAGCTGCCATCGATGTTTGTGTCCGAGGTGGCGACAACAAGGGGAGGACGAAGGGTCGGTATCATCCGCACCAATCGAGACAGATGACGAAGCAAGCGGCGTGCTCGACGGATCGGGAAGATCAGATGGTGGATTCCCCCGACGAGGGCTTCGCGGATTTGATAGTCTAGCTTCATTCGTTTCCTATCCTCCAGGTCACCGAGGTCCGCTCCAGCCAGCAGTACAGCCAGTCCGAACGGTTCCTCCTTTCGATCTCGCAACATCTTCATTATATGGGCGTAGTATGTCATTTCTGACTGTCGAAGTCCCTGTCGCCACGAGTCCTTGATAACGTACTGCTTGCCACTGACATCGTCCTTATCAATTGCTGACCATACCGTCGTCGAGAGAACAGGCAGGGATTGATAAAGATCAGCTTGACCGTTAGTAAACTCATCTCCACCGTCTCACCTTCCTTGGTCACGGCCTCTGCGGAAATCCACCGGTGCACGCCGGCATCGAAGCTTTCAACATCGTCTGGCTCCAGTACGTCCTCCACGCATCGGAGATGTGACTTTGTGGTCTTAGTATTTACCGTCGGGTCGTCGCCAGAAATCCGTGTGTCACGGAGAGGATTGACGAAATTCCAGAAGAATTGTCGGAAGAGCTCGGGCCGCTCGACGTAGTTGAACCTAGGTGAGACAAGACAGGACGAATGGTCGAACCGAAAGACGCGTGCGTGGTGGCCGAAAATCTCGAACACGAACACGAACAGGCCACTATGGCCCACCAGGAGATTCTGCCCATTCTTGACAAGCTGCCTTATCGTGTCGTCTTTATTCTTGGCCCACCGGCCAATTGGGTAGTCACCTCTTTTAGGCTTGACTTCGATCGCCAAGTGCAACATCTTTCCAATGAGGGTCCTCCAGCGACGTAGTCGTTCCCGGGTAGGATGTGATCAGGTCGGGTTTCGTGCGGTGATGATGAAGGTCCCACGACATGTACGGGAACGGAATCAGGTGGGTGTTGTTATCATGGAAGCTAAGTGACTTTGCCACTGGGAAGTCCTTGGTGAGAGCGAGGAACCTGTTGACCTAAAGGCCACACAGTCAGACCATCGTTAACATAGGCTACAAGAGTGCAACCTACTAGAGGGTTATACATTAACAGCTTGAGGCAGTCTTCAGGAACCTTGTCGAATTTCCTGGAGCAGTCCATCGGAGGGCACTTTACATTGCTAGGGACGAGAACGTTGATGAACGAGTCGATAGTGCCATGGTATTCATTTGTCTTGCCACGATATTCGGACGCCCATGCTTGTTGGTTCTTCTCGTTGGCTTCCCTGCGATCAGCCTGGTTAACAATCTGCTTGTGAGACTTAACAACGGCGGGTGTGGCTGACAACATGCTCGAGCCGCTGGAGTCTGCAGAGCAGGCGCTCCAGAAGCTGCAGCCAGAGTCGGATACATCGGAAGAGGACATCATAATTTATAATGGTTGAAATGTCGGAGATTTGATTAGGCTTGGCCCAAGTTGCATGCGCCCAAACTTGCACGAACAATGGTCTTCCCGCCACCGTAAGCCTGCGTCAGTTTCAACCTCTCGAAAACGAACAATTTCAGATATGATCTTGACACTGGGACTGAAGAATGCGATAGCATCCCGTTAACATCACGGGCAAAAACTCATTGGGACTCACAGAGTTCAGTCAATAGGCAATGCGCACCAAGCAATGCACCAGACACTGCGACCACTTGAGGCTTCCGGACAATTGTCACCAACGGCGCGGTAGACCTGGCTTCGCTATCTCGGTCTGACCGATTCGTGCAAAATCTATCGTCATGCCGAGCTATCGGACTCACCTGTCTGTCAGCCAGAAGAGCAAAGTAGGCGATGTCCTGTAAGAGACAGGTTCAGGTAAGTCGCTAGATACGAAGGAATCCAGTAGACCGGGGGCTCCATCGTCACCACACCGCGAAGTTATTTACATTTACACGTATAAGGTGAGATGAGAGAATTATTGGACTACGCTGCTTCTCCGAGCAGTGAGATTAGAGACGACCATAGACATGATGAAGAAAATTATCCGCGGACGGAGAAGTCGTGCCAAGGCGCATCTTTGAGTATGTTTGATTAACTCTATACCATGATGTTGATCGAAAATTTACTTCGGAAAATAGCAAGGTACTGTGATGAGTAGAATCCCAGCCACCGTTGAGTCTGTCGTGTCAGTGCCGGCAACTTGCAACCCCCGTATTTCCTTATGCAGCTTGCACTCTACTCAACGCCCGGCGTTTGCCGGCAGGATGTTTTCATGCACCTCCACGAAAGTAAAGCAGGAGTTATACGCACAGGACTGAATTCGCAGCGCACGAGTTATCAAACTGCATGCAATGGCAAGTTCAAGAAATGCCCTGTATATCCTGGCAGGAAGTGCAGGCCCTGGTTGCCTGCGCGTACAGCAGGAACGCGTGCATGACAATACGTGTTCCATTTAATCAGTTGAGCCAAAAGTATCGGACACGAAGGAAAATTCAAGCCTCGCAGCCCTTTTCAAGTTGTTCCGGCAGCTCAAACGGTGGTTCCCGTATTTTATACAGACATTTCCCGCTAGCAGAGCCCATTCCAGCAGCGCCTGTGGGGGCCCAGGTGGAAGGCCCTTGCTTCTGATGCGGAAAGCGTCTGGTGCGGAAAGCGTGCAGCTTGGCAAGCTTCAGTTCGTGCGTTCGCTGCAAATAGAACTTCAGTCTTCATCAGACACGGAGATCCTGGGGAAGGAAGGTCGAAGCAGAGTATCAGTCTGCCTTTGGGAGACTAACTTCATCAGTAGGTCGCATATTTATGCCAAGGTGTATAACCGATATGGTTTGCTCTATGGTACTTCTGGAGGACTGATGGATGCACAGGTGTTGTAGTTGACAGTTAACAAACACGGAGCGATCAACTGAAATGCAGCACAAAATTCCATCTCAGGACAACGCGGGAACGAACGTTGGAGGTGTATCATAGTAGGGCGAGTCGCGGGTGAACTAGGCACATGCATCGCCCGATCTTCACTAGCAACCGTCGGCCATGAAGGAACAACTTCCAAGTTGCCACCATGATCACATTGCGATCTCGCGATCATTGATGGATACATATCCACACCTACTTCGCGGTCCGCCATCCAAAGTGACAAGGAAACTAGATCCGCGCATGTGTTCCTCCAGCTATTGGAAGGTCAAATGCGCCGAACCTGCAGGCAGTCTGTTTTCTTATCTCAACTTCGCGAAGACCGCCTGGAGCGCCTGGCCCGTGCGCGAAGAATGGGAGACGCTTCACCGGAGGGGCGAGCACCACTGCGTCATGGGAAAGTAGACGGCCATAGCACAACAAAAGTGGTCGGCAGAGGCCCAGAAATGGTCTTCTCGGCACGGTGGAGTACTATAAAGTCGCCCACAAAGCCCTCCGTGATCCCCTAATCCGCTTACTCTTCAACTACGATGGCTGACGCTGTGCTCACCGATCTCTCCGCCAGTAATCTCTTCGATCTCCGCGGTGTTGTCGCTGTGGTCACTGGTGGCGGCTCGGTATGTTCGGTCAATCGTCGTCGCCGTGTGGACTTCTGTCGCTGAACTGTCTCGCAGGGGATTGGCCTTATGATCAGCACCACTCTGATGGCGAACGGCGCGACCGTGTACATCATTGGTCCGAAACAAGCTGATCTAGACAAGTAAGCTCCCCGAGCCTGACATGTTTACTTCCTTCACGACACCATGTCCACGTAGGATCGCCAAGGTCTACAACGATGCTGCCCAGTCGTCCGGAAAAGTCGGGCGGCTGTATGGCATCGAGGGAGACATAAGCCGCAAGGTATATGGTTACGTCCTCCACTGATTTCTGGTTTAATGATCACCGCGCTTTTTGCAGTCCGAGGCCGTGCGACTCGCAGAAGAAGTAGGAAGGCGCGAGCGGCACATCACCGTGCTCTTCAACAACGCAGGGTGAGTACCTCTTCATGCCGACAGCGTCCCTCTCCACTGACCGATGTCAGGATCACGGGCGCATACGCCCCGCGGCCTGGGGCGCCCACTGCGGCGGAGTTCCGCAAGGCCTTCTTCGACGGTGTTCCTGAGGACGCTTTCCCCAACATGCTGGCCACGAACGCGGTCGGCGCATACTGGCTCACCTTCGCCTTCCTCCCGCTGCTCGAGAAGTGGAAGGAGCACACGACTGGCCCGCGCGCGTTCGCCCCCCAGGTCATCATGACGTCCAGCATGAACGGGTGGACTAAGGTTTGCCTTTTCCCCTTCCCTATCCCATCCCTTCCCCGCATTCTAGAGAAGTGTGCTTACCTGCAGCGGGACAGGACTCGGCAACCGCAGCATACTCATACCCGTACATGTTCTCCAAGTCCGCCATCGGGCACGCGACGTCCTCGCTCGCACACGAGCTCCTCCCGCTCGGCGTCCGCGTGAACGGAATCGCGCCCGGTACGCCCTCTTCCGCCTAAACCATCTCCCTCGTTACACTCCCACTGATCACTGACGCCCACGGCAGGGCTCTTCGTCACACCGATGAACACGGCGGGCCCGGTCGACGAGCTCGGGCGGGCGCGCCTCCCACCCGACGGTGGGTTCCCGTTCGAGATCCCTATGGTACAGCCCGGTCCGCAGCCGGTCCTGGGGGGTTCGAACAGGGACGTGGGCGCGCTCGCGCTGTGCTTGGTCGCGAACTGGTATGTCAACGGCGAGACGGTGCTCATCGACGGCGGGGTACGTCGCGCTTCCTTGCTTTGCTCGTACTCGAGGGTTTCCTGACTTTTGACTCTGCCGGTTGCAGACTCTCCTGAAGCACCCTTCATCCTACTGAGGGTTTGTTGCATGAGCTCACACGGCTTACCTATGAATAAGAATCAAAAGCGAGAGCTGCGAAGAATATGTCCGAGTTGTGGACGACTTGTATGAATACGCAGCTTGCGGGACTAAAAGCGAGTACTGCGAAGAATATCCCCTTGCCTTGGATGGCGTGTACGAATACGCAGCGCATGCATCATCTGGTAGTACTTTTTCTTGACCGTGCACCATTGCACCAATTTGATTTCTGTTGTCTATACTGGCTCGATCGTTCAACGGGAACAGACGATAACGTCGCTTTGTCTATTATGCAGAGTCGATACTACCCAATAATAATCATATATAATACTTCTACCCGATACACTCGGACGGCGTCCTGCGCATGTGCGACGTGCATGCATCCCCAGTCCTGACAGAGCACGATACAGACAGCGAACTTGTGAACCGATCAAGATCGTGCGCTGAAGATCTCAAAGTACTTCGTGTACTCCTCCGGGGTCATCAGCTCCTGGTGCTCCTCCGTCACTTGTGAGAACGGCACGGGCTGGCCATTTACTGGACGGACAGAACCGAGTGAGCATGGTCACCTTGGGAGCACAAAGGGAAGAGACTGCACCATAAACAAGAGGATCATCCGCGGGGCCAACATCCTCGACGGCTTCCATATCCTCATCGCCTGCACCGCTCACCCCATTAATCTCACCTCTCAGCCCGCTGACGGCGACTGGCGCCTCCTGCACGGCCGCCTTAGTGGCCGACATCTCCGTATGGCCATTCATCCGCTGAAGTTTCGGCGTCGCGCTGCCACCGTCCACGTCCTCGTGCGAGCGCGATCGCTTACGATATTCGTTCAGCGAGTCCAAGTACTGAATGGACGGCTTCACGTCCTCCTCCTCGTCTCCAAAATCGCTACCGGGCGTGTCCTGGCCAGAAGGCACAGCAGACGCGGCGAGGGAAGCGTAATACCGGTCGTAGTCTGCGGGATTTAATGGAAGGTGAGCGATCCACCCACACCAACACATCAACCACTCACAGTCCGCTTCCTGCATCTGCACCACGGCAGGCTTCTTCTCTTCTTTCTTCGGAGCCTCCGCCACGGGGCGGTGAGCCCCAACGACTCCGAGGCCCTTCAAGATCACGTCGTTCGAGCTCGGGAGCCGATTCGCCGCCGCCGCGTCCTCCTCCGTCCGCGCGTTCTCCCTGATTCCGAGCGCGGTCAAGTCGCCGGTGATGGTGCTCTTGAGATGCCAGGCCGGGAGCAGGTTCTGCTGACGCTTGGCCGCTGCCTCCAGGTCGCGCTCCAGCCTCTGAGTCGCGTCGTCCTTGTCGACGGACAGGACGACTCCGATCGCGTCCTCCGGTTTGGCGTCTCCGGACGTCCCTGCGATCTTCAGCCCGCCCCCCTGCGCGGCTGCCTTTGCCTTCTCTGCGTCGATGATGTGTGTCTTCACCCAGAGCGCGACATCGAACCTGAATGAACAATCGGTAAGGATCCTCCCGACTGAAAGGCGTGGAAGTAGGACGAACGCGGGGAGAATCATGTCTTCCGTCCTTCGGAGCCCTTCAACTATAAACCGCATCTGCCGATTGAACCGCTGCATGCGATCCTGGCTGCCAAGCACGCTCTCCGAGTTCTTGTTCTCGACCACCTCTGCGTGGCAGATGTCGCAGACAAAGGTGTTTGAGGTGAAATCCATAAGTTTGTCCACTTCTAGCGGGGAGAACGTCTTCTGGCATTGAGGACAGATGTATCCCTTATTATCCAATTCCTGCAAGACGGTCAGGCCAAACGCAGCGAAAGGATGTAAGTGACTCACGTTCCGTAGACCCGTATCGATGATCTTCTGCATCTTCTTCATACGCCATTTCACGACGTTGCAGAAATGCTGATAGTCAATGTAATAATACTGCTTTCCCACCGAACGCTGCGCGCCCTCCTTCAGCTCGTTCTGGCGGTGACTGCGAGAACATGTAAACGACGCCGAGCGGCGATGAGCGGAAGCGCGACTCACACCCGCACAAGTTTGTCATTATCCAACACGGCCATGACTTTGTTCAGCTCCTTGAGCTGCAAGCCCATGCGACCCGCGAGATCGTCATCTTTGAGACTACACGCATCGAAGGCCACAAAGCGGACGGCCACAAAGCAGACGAGCCTACAGGTTCAGCTGCTGCTCAAAGCGCCTGCACACGATAACTTACACCGGATGACGCACGAGCTGGTCGAGCACCACAACGTACTTGGGCTCGTAAAATGCCCGCGCGACGTGCTGCACCAGCAGCCGGAGCGTCTCCTGCTCATCTTTTGTCAACGTTGACATCTAGGCCGAGGAGGCCGCCAAGATAATATATTTCAGCAAGGAGCACGCCAGAGGACGTCGCCAGAACTGCAAGCTTTCCAGCGTGGAGAAATGACAGAAAGTCCTCGTCGGTGTCGCAGTGAAGCAGGTGAACGATCGGCCACTTCTCCACTACTGGATTACAAACTCCACACCGCGTTTTGGGTCGGAGTTGGAAAAAGATCTAGATCGGGAACGGTGCAAGCGCCAAATTGGTCGAGTAGGAAACACCACAAATGTTGGATGAGGCTGCGAGTGTGTTGAAATACAAAATCCAGTTCGTAACAGCTACTCTATATTTTACAGCGGGATACATCATAGATCATGCGGAGACCCATTTGCAAGCGAACCTTCCGCACCGTCGTTCTCGTGAGTGAAAGACATATCCGGATCTACCTCGTATACATCACACTTCATCTCAGTCAACCACCTAAACCTCTCGTCCTGTCTCCTGTTCGTCTGACTTTTTCTCACGCATAAGCTGCGGGCGACGTCCGCCGGCGGTCGTCTGCGGATGCGTGAACCGCCTATCGCAGACAGCTCGGAAGGCTGGGAAACGGGATAGGATGCTGGGCAGTCCCGAGCATAGAGAGAGGGCAGAAGTGGCGGCAGCGTGGATCGGGACGAGGCGTACGTGACTATCCGGAGGCGCTGGGATGTCGAGAGTGTGGGCGCGAGGAAAGAGAGGATATACAGTTGAAGCTCTGTGGGCAGAAGACTGAAGAGGAACGGCTTAACTGGCGGCCCAAGGGCTAGTATGTTTACCGGGGTACCTATAGACGAGAAGAGACTGTCGACCGATGGCGAGACACACGGGTCCGAACCCGAGGAGGGCCCAGCACGACACGATTCAGCTGCTTTGTGCATACCTTTCGGGTACAGGAGCGTTGCGCGCGCATACCGCAGCAATGCAAATGCCTCTCTCTCCGTCTGCCTCTGCAAATGCTTGTTCCGGTCCAGTGCGCCCCTCAACAGACGCTCGCTCTCCTTCCAAAGCGTCCGGCGGTCCTCCCCAACTCTGACCTCGACCTCGTGCTCATCGTCGCTCCCGTCTGCCCACAGGCTCGCGTACATCTCCGTCTTCACGATTGAAAAGTTGCTACGGCAGTGAGCACGAACGATCGCTTGCATGGCGCGTAGACCGAGACGATTTCCGTTCATCTGCAGCGAGTGCAGCCGGCAGCGTGGGGACGAGATATATTCGATGATGTACGGGGCAGCGGTGCGGGTAAGGCCCAACGCCGATATCTGTAGTTCGTGCAAATACGGGCAGTCCAAAGCAGGAAGGAACCGAGAAGCAAAGGTGTCAGATAGACCAGAATTAGTCGACAGGCACAGTGTCTCCAGCCGGGACGAATTCAGTGCGGCCGTGAAGGAAGAAACAACTTCCGCGTCTCCAACGAAATCATTCTGCACAACTTCAGTTACATAGCTAGACAAATGAAGAATATGCGCACGTTCTGCAGGAAGAGTTCGCCGAGTGTGGTGTTACCTTCTAAATACCGCGCGATGACGAGCAGCCCGCGGTCGCCAATCTTGTTCGAATTCAAGCTGATTTCGGAGATTTTATACTTCCGGCCAAGGTCAGAGCGGAGAAAGTTGAACAGCTCCTCGCAGCCATCATCTCCGAGCTCGTTGTGACCGAGAATAAGCCTGGCTACCAGCCGACGAGACAGTATCGTCGAGATGACCTCTTGAGCACCTGCGCACGTTCAATCAGTTTATCGACCTTTTCACATCTCTCAAATTTTCTGAGACTCACCAGCCACAGAAGTCAGGGCCACATCCAGGCCGTGGACAGCGTAGCTCATCGGCGTGGAAAGCGAGAACTTAGTCGCAGGCCTTTGCCTTCTTGTAACCACTGAGGTGAATTTGGCACCGCGAGGAAAGGCTTCACATCATAAACACCGGAAACGGCAAACTATATCTGGACATCCAATATTGTCCAAATATCCCATCTAACATTGTAAATATATGGTAGAATGTCAGACAGTCGTACATTACTGCGAACAGGCTTATTCTCGCGATCTGGTTGAGAAAGGATGTAAGGCAAATTTTCAGCAGGCAACAATGGCCGGCCAGACAGGTACAATGTGAGGCAGAATTTTCCCACAATTTCCGTAGATGCGATATTGCCCTCCGTCTCCGGTGAAAGATTACAGTCGCACGGAAGCTTACATAAGGATGTCTGCCAACTTCCGCCGCCAGTGCGGAAGGCAGTATGGCTGAAAGGGCGGGCACTGAGGTAGGGAAAAAATATATCTCTACCTAGATAATGTGCTAGTATATTTACTGACATGAATACATATTGTCCGGAAGCCATAGACGGCGGGGAAGGGGCAGGAACACCATTCCGAGGGTGAGCCACAACTTGCCGAGCACAGGCCGAGCGGGACGGATGGAAGGGAAAACGACTGTAAATTGGAGGAGTGAGAGGCTGTAGGTGCAGGAGGAACAGACTGGCGCTTACGGCGCCTATTCCTCCGCCTTCAGCCTCTCGCTTAGTAAGCACTACTCCACTTTTCCCGGTGGGGGTGCGCTTGGTCACGTGCTTCGGGACCGTAGCGTGGGAGCGAAAGAAGGTATGTCACACAATTAGTCACCGTGACCCGACATCACCTCGCCTGCACAAGGCGCACAATCCACCACACTGTTTGCCAACATGTCGCAGTTCACGATTAATATCGCATACGACATTCTCTGCTCAGTTGTTGACCATCCCACAATGATCGGTGTTCCTGTCCCAACAGGCATGCAGTGGGTAAATTTAGCGACTGAGATTGCACGACATCCCCTAGTAGGGCGTAGCGGAGCTCCTTTAGACCTGTACAAGCTTGTAGGTCATATACTGTGCATTGTTGTTATCGTGCCTTCAACTGTTTTTGCAGCGCACGCCAGCCGATGTGAAAGATCTCGAGCAAGGATTACAGATGGGAGGTGTGGAGGGTATTGCTGACAAAGTCAGGTCTTTCGACCAAGTACCGCATGACATGACCCAGTTTCCCCTGGATAAAGTGCATGTCATCGTCGTTGTGGGGCAACAGAGAAAGACAGCCGAAGGTCAGTGAACCAATCTATATATGTCCGTCCAGGCAGACTCAAAATCATTTGTACATTGACGCAGGGTTTTCCTGGGGTGAGCGCTCCCGAGATTTTGTAATGCTGTTTCTGAACTCAGCACCATCCCAGACATCCTATTGCAGACAGAGCTGGCTAAACTGTTACTCGTCGTCATCGAAATACCCAACAAATGGTCGAGGAATGATGTTACCAGCAATGGTGGTGTCTTCCTAGATAGTAGTTGTTCAGTTCTGCAGGACATAGTTGTCAAGTTGAAGGCGCAACGGACGTATCAGGTTGAGGCAATCTGATCCTTGCCACCTCCGAGTGCAACCTGATAATCGACCAATCCCTAGGCGAACTATGACAGCTTCGACTTTCAGAATGCCAGCCGCCTTCCTCTTTTCTCCCAATCGTTCATCTCCGTTTCGGAATCACACGGGACGGTGAAGGGCGACGACGAATTCGAGACATTCTATCATGTCCTCCGGCGTTTTAGCGGTGATGCACCCCTGGTGCGCTCGGACCCCTCCTCGTCCTTGAAAGCAAGCAGTTTCACGGTGTATTTCATCCATTGTCCTTTCTTCTCTGGCAGTATCCGGAGTGACCCTTTACAGTATAAGGAGTGAGTGACACCACCTGAGAGCGCGTCAGACTAATGATTCACTTTCAGACAATTGTCCTGGCAATTTCCGATGTTTGTTACGAGGCGTGACAGTCTCGGTCATGTGCGAAAGTACCATCCAAACAGCGATTTCAGTGTCGTCCTCCGCGAATTCCGATGCCCTGTCGTCCTATCGGAAGTTGTTTCACAGAAGGATGAAAATGACCGGCACCGCATGTTAATGGAAGCCATTGTTGTTGCCCGTGTGGGCAAATATCTCTTGAAGCCTACTTCTCGGAAGCAGTTCTTTGTGGTAGCAATTTACCTCACAACTTCTCTGCAAGTGGAGAGGTATATCGTGAGCGAAGACTCGTCACCACAGGTAAGACTGGAGCTCCTTGTCTCCGTCGTATCCCAGGCTCTGATGAGGCTCGGTTTCCAAAAGATTAATATCCAGCAGGAAACTTTTGACCTCTGCAATCCAAGTCGGGCAGCGGAGTTCCTCCGGGAAATGTACAACTTGAAGCCGTTACTGGAGGAGCTCGCGGCCGAGCTCGATGAGAAGAAACGCGTCGATTTGGCGAAGATCGAGACGGACTCGTCGAAAATGCTTTCTCTCAATTCCAGGGGGCCCTGGACGAAACCCCATTCTAGACTGGAGTCAGTCGCAGAACATGATGAATCAATGAATATCAGTGACGATACAGGCGTATTCAATACCCGTAGTGTCCGTTCCGTTCTCGACAAGGCGAACTGTGAGATTGACTCTGTTGGATACGGGGTATGTTTATAGAATCTGTCATGTGCATGTCCTATATGAACTGAAATCCTTCCCAGCATCCCCATGTAGCCCTCGTTGTCCGAAAGGATGACGGCGCTTCGGCCGGATTCCTCAAGTTTGTCAAAGACGGAAACCCAGAAGTAGAAATCATGCAATATCTCTCCCGGATCGATTCACCCGCCAACCACACCATTCGCCCCATTCGTGTCTGGCCTATCGAAGGGGGCACGATCGTCTCAATGCCCGTTGGAGGCGGCTGGATCTCTTACCTCGACGATCTTGATGCGCGTCTTTGGGGAGCTTCGCAACAACTGTTCGAAGCTGTCGGATTTATGCATGATCATGGTGTGGCACACATGGACCTGAAACCAGGAAATATTGTAATCCCCCCGATCTACGGAAATCTGTCCATCATTGACTTCAGCATTGCTGTGCGCGTCAAAGGTCCAGGAGAGAAACTGATGGGTTACGCAGGCACGAGAGGTTATACTGCTCCCGAGGTCGGTCGAGTGGCTTATCGCCCTATCCGCGCAGACCTGTGGTCGTGTGGTAAAGTGATTATGGAGCTTTGTGAGAATGCGAAGCCGTCCTTCGCTCGTACGTGGCTGTGTGTGGTCAGCAAGCGCCTTATGGACGACGATCCAGACAAGAGGCCGATGATGGCGGAGATCCTTCAGGCCATGTCGAGGGTTGGCCGTGAGAGGGATGAACTCGAGCGTCAGATCAGTGGAGTTGTTGAAACCCAGTGAAAATCGACACGAGGCGCTCGAAGACAGATCGAGTCTGAGCGAGTGTCTCTCTTGGAAAAGCAGAGAAATCGAGTGATATCGAGAATTTCTCGCTGCACATGATGAGTCCGACGACCTGCATCAATTCCTGTCACAACCTTGCAGATTGCAAGACCGGATGTTGCTAAGTATGCCACTGGGTTTGCATGCCCTTGGCATGCCCTCTGCAAGCTGATCAACTTCGCGTTGCCTTACATAATCCATATATCCAGGTCGAAGGCAGCACTACGTGGCGTCGTCACTCTTCTCTCTTTCAAGTCACCTCTCCCTACCTCCCGTCAATTTCCGGTTTCCTTCCTGCTATTATCTCTTTCTTTCATTTGGTTCCTTGCAGGATGACTTTACAGGTTATCTTGCGCTGCTGCTACCTGCGTCAGAATTCCGAGTGGTCGGCCTGCACAGGATGTGTCGGAGAAAGGTCAGTGACGTGAGTTACCCCATTTCTATCTACCAACTGTCTATTCACTCTCTTGTGAGACAGGTGCTCATGTGTCTTGAGGCTGACAAGAGAGGACTCCAAATATGGTGAGCATGTCGTCCCTATTCAATACTCCACACTGACATTTCTCGAACCAGAACAAGCAACGCGGGGGGAGGTACATCTCCAGGACGCCGCGATATTCTAATTTATGGTGCGTGCCCAGATAAACATGATTCCTCTATTTATTGATGCCGACTTCCAGCGTAATGAGGCTTCTGTTTGTGCATCTCACTCCGGGCCTCCTCTGTAAAGTACTGTGACTTCGACATATCTCTCCTGCAAGATTTTTCAGTGATGTGGAGTTACCTGACATCTCAGGTGTGCAGTGGTGTCTGGCCGCAGACAGTTGGATGGCAGGAGTATCAGTAGTATCGGTAGTACCGTAGCTGCAGCAAATGTCGCGGCAATATATTTTTATTCAGTAGCTATAATATGCTCTCGATGGAACTCGGTATGCCTCGACGCGGCTCAATTGGGATGAGCATGCCGTCGAGTACTATCGAGACGGGCAGAAGCTCTCGGTGACGCTCGTTTGCGCTCAGTCTGTCTTGATTTAAATCGAGAGGACGGTCAAAATATCGAGCGCTGTCGAGGCGCACCGATAGTCTCGATTTCTCTCGGTGTCGCTCTAAGCGCCTCATGTCAATTTTGACTGGGGTTGAAAGTCGGGTCAGTAGTGTTGGAGAGCATACCAGTGGTTTTGCAACTGTAAATGCGTAGCGTCGAGGAGATTTGTTTCGTGAGTCTTGTCAGAAAATTGTATGAATGTCCCCGTGTACTTCTGACCCTGACTGCGATGAGATAGGATGGGCAGGAGCCTGCCACCGGGGTGATGCCAGGCATGTGTCTTCGCAAGACGCAAGTACGACTGGGTCTGTTTTGCCTCGCGATATATTGAAGAGCTCTCTCAGGCACTCTCCAGCTGTCTGAATGTCATCAAGGTGATCGCAACTAGGGTCTGAGGCTCTGGCACCCCGACGTGAGGCATGTCCCGGGCTGCACTACCGTGACGCGGGTCGAAGTTCTCTTGACTACTAGACGGTTCTATCGTAACGTTAACGTCGCTTCACTCCATGAAGTGATAGGAAGGTCATCTATTTTATTCAAAGATAACTTAGTAGGAAGGACAAGGTTGGAACAATGGTCTGTTCACTAATTTATCTGCCAGCGTGCCCCACTGACGTACTGCCACCGGGGCGATGTCAGGTATGAGGGAGATCCTATTCATATAACGAATCTAGGCTCGTAGATACAGCCTCTAGTTACGTGCAGGAAATAGCTAGACGACCCCACCGTCGTAGTACCGTCGTCCGCACCCTGTGCCCTGTTTGAGAAATCTGCTTACATAAGCACCGTGACACCAATAATATTTTGCCGAACTAAGTGCAAAAAGGGGCATGCATGTAGAGACCCCACGGCAAGAAACAATTCATCAGTAACGTAACTGGTACAAGTACGTGTACACTCTATCATCGTCATTGAATTTCGAAGCTGTGAGTATGCGAACACTGTCCGACGGAAGAAGACCGTCCATACGACGTGTTCTAACGGGCATAGTATGAAGAGATCAGACCCGGATGACAAGGAAGACGGAAAACAATATGAGCGAGCGAGAACTCACTGCTTCGACAGAAGCAGGCCGACGACAACGACGATGATCGTGGAGGGCGGTGTGACCACGGTATATGACCAGAAGATTGTGCGGCTAATAAGACGCTCAAAAGCGTCTCCGGATGCTGCTTGTGTGATCTGCGCAGTCGTCTTAAGAATACCTGCGAAAAGAACGACGAAACGTGACGCACCTGCGCAAGGGTCAAAGCCGGCGGCGATGCAATCAGCAATGCGTTAGCAACAACGAATACAGGACTGTTAAAACATAGGAATCAGCAAACAACTTTTGCGGTAACGCAGCTGGACGTACTCGTCAAACACTTCCTGCACATTAAACTTCGTCATGAACGCCATCATCGGAAACAACAGGATGGGCGTGATGACCATCCTCGACAGCACAGCGACAACGACGGTCTTCGTCTCCCCCGGCCGGTTTGCGCTCTTTGCGGTACTTACCGCAGACCGGTCAGACCGCTGCTTCATGCTGAACATTTCCCTCACATTGTCAAAAATGGACGCGCGCGACGCCCTGCTAGGACTCCGCGAGTGCGCTGCGAACGACGGCAGCGACCGACGACTGCGTGCATTCGCCTCGGCGGAGGCGTCCTCGAGGTCTGGTGGGGTATAGAAGTACGCTCCAAGTACGACGAGTGTCAGTGGAATGGAACAGTTGCCAGCCATCCTGAGCGCGCCCTTGATTGGCTGCACGTGTTGGTCGAGCGCGTGTTGCATGGACGGGGTGCAGGCAACGACCAGAGAGGCGAGTGCGGCCCAAAGCGGGACGGTCATGAACTCGTAGAATGTCTTCCACGCCTTGCTCGCGCGACGCCGTAGCCGCCGCCTCCGAGATTGCCATAGGGTCGATGTGGGCTCTGTCGCATACCGGCGCGCAGGTAAGGGCTCGTCATCTTCGTCCTCGTCCTCGTATTCGGTTGGCGTGCTGGACGTTGACGGAACGGGCGGGAGATCCTGCACCGAACGATGCGGAGAATTGGGCAACGAATAGAACGACTTGTTCGGCTCAGCGTCCGGATGATCCACGGTCTCCACCGCTGTCGTCACGCCCGCCGTCTTGGTATCATCAGTGCGTATTGAGAACGAGGAGGGCTCGTTGCGTAAGACTCCTTGTTCTCGGAGCGAAGGAGAGAATTCCTCTTCGTCTGAAGAGCTCTCCAGATCCCCGTGTGAGTGGTCGGAGGACTCGGGATCGGCACTGGACAGTAGTCGGACACCATAACTCCACCGTACCTGCACGGGGTAAGCAAAACTCAGTATAGCCTACTGGAGGAACTTACCACCATGCCGAAGGTGGAGTAGAGTACAAGGTATGTCAATGCTCGGCCGACCATGGCGTCCTTGTTATCATCATCTCCCCATTTCAGACCTGGGACTGTGATGACGAGACTCTGCATCAGCGCGATGGGCAGTGAGTTCGAGTTCATGAACATCGCCGCAGCCATAGCAAAATTCCTGCCGACAGCGAGACCGTCAGTCGACAGTCCGTAGCATCGACGGCAAAAGATCGCGCTCGATGCACGGCGACCATCTCCACCGCCAATGTAATGAAGTAAACGCACCGTTGCGACTTCTGCAGTCTAACAAGAAGACCTAGAACATACGCGACCGCCATGGACAAACAGGTGGTGACGACAAAGAATATGGGTATAATCCATAATTCCCGCAATTTCTCTGAAAAGCAGACGGTGAGTAACTGCCAACGAAGGTAACAGATGTGCACGACATGAAGGACACCTACCTCGAGATAGGAAGAATGCTACTTTTGAGAACAGTAGCGCAGGAGTAAAGAGCGAGACATTGAGACGATTGAGTTGCTGCGGAGCCCCAGGATGAGTCGACTGGGACTCTGCTAGAAACGTGCACGACCTGAACACACCTTCTGTGTCTTGCGATCAACTACGCCTCTCCGAGCGAGTACATAACCTGCAAAGCATAGCAAAAAGACCTCTAGGATAGACTTCCGAGAGCGCGGTTAGCCGCGAGAGCGGTGCAGACACGACGAGAACGCGTATACTGACTTCAAAAACAGTTTTGAGGAGCGGCAAAATGGGCGTTTCAGGCATGTGAAGTCCAGCAGCTGGTGTGAGGTGACTGAGCGCCGAAGAAAGCGATGCCCGGGGGAGTTGGGTGTGGTGGTGAAAGGTGGACAGAGTCGGGATCCTGCTTTATTCTCAGGCTGCGCTGGCTGATCGACTTGGCGCTACTCCACGTTTCGATACCTTCGTCTTCTTTCTATCATCTTTGGAACAATATTCGTCTGGAATGACCATCACGACGCGGCGACTATGACGGTGAGGAGGAAGTTAGACAGCGTGCGCCACGGGAGAACGTGGACTGCGTCAAAAACTTCATCAAGGATCTCTCGGATATTCGGTTGCTATTGCCAGACATGATAAGCGTCTCCCATCTTCGTACCGAAAAGGTATATCGATTGGAGGTTTGGCATGATCTTGCACGTCAGAAGATGGCCAGAGTTGTCGTTTCGGCTCACGGAAAGGCCGAGCTTCACGATGCAAATCTCCACTGTTCTCTGCAGGATGTTGTCAGTACTCCCTATTTTCACTCTGGAGCACCGCAGAAGGTGAGTGCTTATGATTTGTCCATCCTGTTACGATCGTGCTAGGTGTAGGATGTTCGAGTAAAAACAATTGTCGCTCGAATAAAGTCTGTCTGACGCCCCGGGTATATTTACTGACTTGCTTAGCCCCATGATCAGTCTGTGACTGAAGGCGATGCGCTGTGTTGCGCATCGGTTCCTTTGGGAAGAAAACTGTCCCTTCTCGCGGGTAGGCACATTTCGAAAGTCTTTTCTGATCTCGGTACGCAAATCTATCTCAGTTTTAGTGAAAAAAAGCATCTGTTTCCTGCGAAACACCACACTTGCCAGAGCTCTAAGGCACTCAATATTAATATGCCTCGATAACTGATTGTGGTTTCTAGGCGCGAGCATGCCGTTGAACGCCATCGGGATATAGAGAAGCTCTATGTCTCTCGCGATTGAAACCGAAGGAACGTCAAAATATCGAGCACTATCGAGCCGCTGGATTTTCCTTGCTGTAGCTCCCTGCACTCCTTGTCCGAGTCAATTTTGACTGGGCATGCGTAGCATTGACTCTACACTCGATACTCAACCATGTGCCTAACGCGCAATATAAGTACACAAATGAAACTAAGGAGTACGTGATCAAGGCGTGCGCTTAGCATTAGGGAAGTTGAGGAGAAGCAACCTGTAAACGAGAGAATGCGTGCTGCCGAAATCGAAGGAGTCTGGGCAGTCGAAGACCACCACGCCCAACCTGACCGGACTGCTTAACTTGGTGCTCTCGAAGGGGATGAGATAATTGTGCAGCTCTGAATTCATCTGGGATGCATATTCGATCGGCCGGGGAATCGCGCCGACCGCAGTCATGAAGTTGAGATACAGGTGCGGTGAGACGGGAAGAGCCTGCGCGACTGTGAAGAACTGCTTTATGGCATCCCACTTGTCCTGATAGGTAGGCTTGTCGTAGAAGTCCTGCACCACGATGTTCGGGTTCGTCGGGATGGGGTTACCCTTCGCGTTGTGCGGCCACTGCTCCACATCGAGGCCGATGGTACCCTTGTACCTGCGCAGAAGCACCATCTTCCCCCGGCAGGCCTGCAGCCGGGGCACCGCATTCTGTGTGTACCACTGCCCAACTTTGTGCACCGTGATGAGGTCGGAGATAGCGCCGCCAAAATTCGCGGGTTCAGCGCCGTCGTCCCACTTGATCGACACGACGACGGCTTCCTGGTCATGGCTCCCAAGGAACGACGCGATGTCCTGCACCACCCCCTCGAGCGATCCTATCAGCGGAATCGCACCGTGCCGCATCCCGATAGAGCCATCGCTCCTAAAGGAGCAACGCAGGTCGAGGAAGCGGATGCCGTTCTCAAGCTGCGCCGTAATGGAGTCGGTCTGGCATGCAGCCATCGCCACCACGACAAGGCGGGCGAGTTCACCATACGGAGGTACCGTCTCTTCACGGGCGTAGCTGTCGTGTGTTCCCGGAATCGTCAATTCCGAGAGTAGCTCATTCCCGCTCAGGTAACTCATCCACCGCGAAGCGTCGATGCTGACATCGAGCTTTGGCCTACGGCAAATGTCAGGCCCCTGGAAGAAAAACCCACGCGAGGAGGCATTACATACCTGAATGTCAGAATCTTGCCTGACAAGTCATAGTCACCACCGAAGGTATATATCTCTTTGTCATACTTCCTGCGTAAAGAAAAGTTGTTCAGCCGAGTATGTGCTTGAACGGAACAAAAACTCACAAACTGTCATCAAGAAGCTCGAACACGATGTTATTTGGAGGGGAAGTATGACGCGCAACGAACACCTCGAATCCGGTGCTACTGCCAAACATGCCGTCATGAACTTCCATATGGTTTTTGAAGACGATATCGTTCTGCGGCAGATTCGGAAGAGGGGTGTTGCGCGGATTGTGGCAGATGAGGATGCAATCGAGGGGATAATCATGCAAGAGATCCTCCTTCGCCTTTTTGAGCGCGTCTGGGATTTTCAATTTCATGTATTTCTCTGCGTTGAACGAGATCAGCGTGTGGCTTTGCAAGTTAGATGGTCAGCTTTAGTGTGAAACAGTCGGACACGCGGGAAACATACGGATTCCCATCATAGCGGAAGAATGTGTAGTAATTCTCGCCGTACTTCGTATTAGCAGTGAATGCTTGAGCGTGACCACTGAAATTTCCGAGAGCATCTCAGTCGAAACCACAAACGCACAAAATGCAATAACTTACGATGACATCGCATCGCAGTAGAAGCTTCCTTCCAGGAAGACCCAGTAAGCGTACTCTCCTTTTTTCGCCTTGAATTTGGACAAGGGAACGACCTGAACGAGTTGGTTCAGGATGACAGCGGAGTTCGCTGGATCCTGGATGCTCAGACTGCGAACATTCTTCTCAGCCGGAACGATCAAGACGTGCGCAGAGGGGTGATCCCTGAGGAGGTCGCGCTTAGCTGCCGTAACTGCCACTGCGGGGTCCAGACGCTTGTACAATGCCTCGCAGAAGTTAGGAAAGGCAGATCTTAAGGCGAAATGAGTGAGTAATTGCGTGAGACTCTCGAGAACAGATAACGGACATTGCACCCCCTCGGCGTGTGAAAGTGAAGATACTCTCAGCTTCGTCGCGTTTATCGGTGCAGTTGAACGAATCTGCGCCCTTGTCTCCGGGATAGTACACGGTCCCCTCCTTGAAGACATAGAGGTTGTATCCGTACGTGGCACTCGCTTTGATGCTGTGGCGGAAAATCTCGATATGGGATCGCTGCAGACCGTCGGCGCGAAGGAACTCGGGGTCGTCATCTCGGCCGGTCCGGACGATCAAGACGTTGCAATCAGGAAATACTGCCAATAGAGCCGTCTTGATTCTCTCTAGGACCTCATAGTACGGCAGGACCTTGGGGAGGTCGTGCCATTGGTTGAGATCAAATGGACCAGGAAACGTAATCGGAGGAATGTTTGGCATGCTAAGTAAGTGTCGAAAAGTGAGCGAATATGGTCTAATGCTTTGAGAGAGCGACACACTTTTGAACGGGAAGTTTGGAATGCTCAGCGATGGGGGAGGCGTGAGCTTGACGAAACCGTGCATGTTGATTCTTATATGCTCGAGGAATGGTCCGGTACCTGCCTTCACGAAGTCAACAGGCACCGCCTGGACAACACCTACACGCCCTTGCGTGCAGCCCGCACTCACTGAAGTGCCACTAACCCTGAGGGACGTATTACAGGAACATAAGGGCTGGAATCTGTTCGGAGAGAAGCAGGAATGGTGTATGTATGTTCGTTCCAAGGACAGCGCAAGTTACTTCGACATTTTCTCATCAACGAGGCTCGCAGACGGACGATCGAGTCATGTGTAGCCCGGTATGTCCTCGGTTGGCAGGAGAGTATAGAGATAGCGGTTACTGACGAGTTAACGGACCTGGATGTCGGTAGGTACGGTATTGTGAGTCCCGTACGCTGTTCCTAAGTAGACATACAAAAGGAACGTACTGAGTCGGAGGCGCCTCAATATTCTGATTGATTGCCGCCAACCTCATTCCGGTAAGTAGGATGCTTTAACTTGTATTCCGGCGCTCTTGTGGCTACTCAGTGAGGTATTGTCACCTCATTAGCATACGGCGAAGGGGACCTCCGACTTGTCAATGTTTAAACAAGCGGCTGCTGCAATAGACCCTCCAGCGGGCGGCCCGGACGATATTCGCTGCGTTCGAAACGCAGTTCGGGATGCTTTACGAAACGTTTGGGAAACTCGCTTGAGAGTCGCCGAACCCTAGCCAAACTGTTATTTTCGGCTATGGTAAACCTACGGTAGGGTTATCCACTCTTAAGCGAACCTCAGCGAATGTTTCGTAACGCATCCAAACTCAGGCTCCTAAAACCATCCGTCGCTATAGCGTTCTCGCTCCTACATCCCAACATATGTTTTAAATGATCATGTGACATATGTTTTATGCGACTTACCTGTTTGAGAGACTATTGCCGGAAAAGGATAGCCGAACGAGAGGAGGAGAACGCTATAGGACGGCTGGCCAAACTGGTCGTCCGAGGATACGCCGAGCGCGCATACCTAGAGTTTCCCGCTGGAAATCTCGAATAAACCCTAGCATGGGTCTTGTTGTCTGCAACGCGCGCGACCCAAATTCGGCATTCGCGTAGTGCTCGTCGTGCGCTGCCCCTCGCGCAGTGTTGTCGATTCGGGGCATGGGAGCACGGCACGGCTTAAAGTTTTCAATTGATAGACCACCAAGTTGTCTAATCCTCGCTCTGAGGTCACCCTCAACCTGCGAGCCTCTAAGTTGATGTGTCGCACTAGTACTTGATTTTTTGCAGCTCGGGACCCTGCACTTACAACCAGAGCATTCCTATTAATTTCTAAGACAACCACACTGTACTTTGGCTTTACAACATATCTCTACAATGCTACACGAGGGGGAGCACTACGCGAACGCCGAATTTGGGTCGCGCGCGTTGCAGACAACAAGACCCATGCTAGGGTTTATTCGAGATTTCCAGCGGGAAACTCTAGGTATGCGCGCTCGGCGTATCCTCGGACGACCAGTTTGGCCAGCCGTCCTATAGCGTTCTCCTCCTCTCGTTCGGCTATCCTTTTCCGGCAATAGTCTCTCAAACAGGTAAGTCGCATAAAACATATGTCACATGATCATTTAAAACATATGTTGGGATGTAGGAGCGAGAACGCTATAGCGACGGATGGTTTTAGGAGCCTGAGTTTGGATGCGTTTTGAACGCTGCGATTCGCAGACTGCCCCCACTGAGGAAGCGACTAGTTTCCGAAGTCTGGGTGCTATGCAACAATCCATCTGGGCTGGCCGGATAGGCCGACGAAGAATGCAGACAGGATCGTGGAAATGAGGGAGACAAGTCACTCGCTGCAGGCTCTTGATTCATTCACTCAGGATGCCGCCCTTCCGCCACTGGATGAGCACGAGTACAGCGACTAGCCTGAATCGCACTATCAATCGTCAACTGTTACAACTTACAAGCCCAATTATATAGAGGCGCACTTGCCTACGGCCCTGCAATAACTCGAAGAAAATAGTCTAAGAATGTCCGGCAAGTCCATCGCATCTCACTCCCAGAGATCCATTCATCATAAGCGTTACACAATCTGGATATCCTCCAATTTCGCGTCGCTCTACGCAGATGCGGCTTGAGAACCACATGAACGACGACTGAGAAGAACGGTGGAACACCCACCACTTCTGCGTGCTGCACCTCAATCTCATCAGACAACGGCATCACATCGCTCATGAGCGGATTACGAGAGTCTTCCGCAACCCCGTCTTCTTCGTAGGGGTCAACGAATTCCAGGCTGTCCCTTTTCTCTGGCTGCCCTGTGGTCAGAGGTGCACCCATGTTGCCCACAACGCTTGTTGCGAAGTCCAGATCCGAGATGCGCCCGATAGATATGGTGTGCATTTGTTCAACGTCGCCCTCCGCGGGGTAGATTCCACGAAGATCCAGCATGAACCGCGAGAGGAAGATCACGACCAGGCTGAGAATACATGGGATGAGCACTGAAGCTGTCGCCAGACATATCAAGGATAACATACACTTGGTTGAAGTAAGTCCAAACGTCAAAGAGGACGAAGCTCTAAGGGCCGATAAATTCAGGGTCCTGAAATTTTCATATGCGACATACCGAGCCTGCCTGTGGGGAAGTCAGCAGGAGCATGTGCGGGGGCAGATGAAGTCAGAATCCTGACCTGACTGGCTATAATGCTGAATATAGATGTGAAGACGAGCAGGCTGGTATGCGATTACCAATTCAGTGTTCGATGAGCACCAACATCATCCAGCACTTACCAGAAATATATTGTGCCTGTCCAGAACAGAATCAGATATGTCCGCGCAGCACAGAACATTCGATGACGTACCATCTCGAAGCAACAATGTCGCCAGAGGTGTATTCAGCCCAACTCTGGCCGACTCCCTTTTGATCGCATAAGTTTTGATCCATGTAAGAAGAAGAACAAGGCAGTTGTTGAAGATCGACGCTGTACCCGAGACGATGGATACTAGAAAACTACTGTTTTGTCAAATGTCGTGATAATACATTAAACTTACTCACTTCTGTCGAGAATAAGTGAGGACGCGCGAAACGAAACCGAAGTGATGCATACAACTCACATATTAACATCCCTCAGAGTCAAGTGGATGTCAGCGCCGCATCCAAACAGTGGCCCGCCGAATGCTATAGGCGTGTAATGGGTGTCTACATACTATTGAGTCATCAGGGAGGGATCTGGGACTAAGGAATGATTGAGGCTCACGACGTCGCAGATGGGTGCGGCGAGACACATAGGGACAAGTATGAGATGAGGCCTCCAGTCTCTTCCCCAGATTCCCCATATTCGTAGTACAAGAAATACTGCACGTAGGTCCCGACGTTAATCATGAAACATTGAGATCAATGCAGGCCAAAGTGACAAACCTCCACTGATAACAGAGCTGAGGGCATTCAAACAGTCGTCAAGTCGTAAAACGGGTACACAGCTGGTCGTTCAGGGCTGCGATCAGTATCAACTTTCACGTAACATCCCGCTGTAAACTATACCTCTGTGAACTAGTGATTAGTATCTTGCACAGCAATCGCAATTGGTGTTAGAAGAGGTACTGTACCTGGTCGTTATTCGTCACAAGAAATACACTGGTGACGAGCGTCACCCTCTCCGCCAACGCAACATATCGATTCAGCAAGAACACGATCGTTGCTCCGGAGAATTTCCGTCGCCATATGCGTTGCACTTCGTTGGGGAAAGTAATGGCGAAATCGACAAACAAGAGTGCTACGTGCAAGATTTCATCAGATAACGCACAAGAACAAAATTATGATGCATACTCGCCTGTAGATGCTATGATACAGTAATTTTCCACAATTCTGTAAAGTATACATACAGAATAAGCACTCCAAATCCGAGTGAAGTCGCCGATGGACCACCAATAGCGGATCCTTACAGTCTATTGTACGCAGCGAAGATTTCATCCTGCTGACTATCGGAGTTGGACATGAGGGGCAAACAATCGACGAACTGGTTACAGGCTTATAGCTGCCCTCCGAGATGATCACATCACTACCAGACGACGCGCACTGCATGAAATCAGGTACAATTTTATCGTGTGGATGGCGCGAAGTCTGCTCGTTGTGTAATCATTGCAGACGCGAGTTAACCGAAACTAGCCTCAGTCTATCTTGGTCGCCGTTCTCCGCCCTCACCGGATATGCGGAGATATGCGAGTTTTGTAATTGGGGAAATGCTGCGTAGGGTGATGCATCAAAGAAGTTTTTGATCGAGCGACATGGCCAATGTGTTACATAGCAGGACAAATGACCCCCTCCGGGAGGATCCTGCATCTCTTATCGAGGACTGGGCGGCATCGACCTGCACGGGAAACTGAAAAATGGCGGCACATCCTAAGTACACTACTGCTACAGGCCCGGTCGGACTTACTAGAAAACTTGGACGGAGGTCGATTTTGTCGGCCTGTGTCTGCACAGCATCTACCCTGCCTGCCGACGCAAGTCTCCGAGTAGATCTGCGTGATACGCCTATCTTTAAGCACAGTGTCAGTGCCATCCGAAGAATATGCAATGCACCCGGCCAGGGCAGTACACAGGAAACCGTGTGCATTGCCGCCGTGCGCCCACAACTAAGCACTTCCGTCGGACCATCAGAGGATCGTCCTTCACAGGAGGCGGCACCATCACATCAGCTGTCTAGCGACTGACAGATCAATTAGGACTGGGAAGTCGCTGTTGCGAATGGGCAGGTCAGAAAGGATTTTCACAACGAGATGAGAACTCCTGCACTAAAGGCAGCTAGGATCCCCTCTCCAGTTGTCCATCTAACTCCACATTCGGTTGACGCTGGAAAGATGCTCGCGAAGCACATTTGTGCGCGAAGCGCGTGTAACGGGACCTACAATCGATGCTACTTAGCACTGCCGCTTCGAGGGTGGAGGAATAACGTACGTTAAATTACACAATGCTAGTCTTCGCAGAGGAACACAGCGCGGTTCCTGAGCGAACAGGCGCTCTGGAAAGTGCGCTACCGCGGCATAACGTACTCGACGAAAGTTCAACGAGGAGCAAGTCTTTGGCCTAGTCTCCTAAGGGCAATCATAGCAAGGCGATGCTGGTTTGGGGTACGACTCGGGCCAGTGCCCGCAAAAGAAGCGTCAACGAAAACATGTTCGAAAATTCGCCAGCATATTCGACGGTTACGAAGCTGTGGCGCGGTTCCGCTGATATTCTTCTGCACCGAGAAAGAATTACTGTGAAAATTATGACGAGATTTTGCGACATTGTCTCCTGAATGGCTTGTAATTCGTTGTGAGGAAACGCCGTCTCGAAAAATTCCCTTTCGAGCAGCACAGTTCGCTGCATGATCTGCAGGCTTGACGGTACACTAGCTGCAATAAGCCCGCGCTAGCAACTACCCCATCCGCAGCTTTCATTCTGCGAGACCAAGACGGGTATGCAGGTATGCATACGGCTCGGGGAGCGCGTCGCAAGTCCAAGAAACAGGAAAAACCGACATAAACTTTTGGGACCAGCTCACATTTGGGAAGTCAGCACTGTTGAGTAAGTGAGTCGGCGCACCTGCGAGATCGTCCGCTAGATGTCACATCAATGATGTGTCCGTGGTGCGCCCCTAGGCCTGATGACTTCCAACACCGAGCCTCCAGGCAAAGCTCGCTGCACCTTCTTCAGATGAAAACGGGCACGGAGTAATTCAGGCAGTCGTCTCGCAGAAAGAATGCTTCGATTACGGTGCTCCAATAAATTCCAAGAGGCGAGGCCATTGTGTAAAACCTGCAGGGACAGTGGGGAATCTTACAACATTGCACCCGATCAACGGAGAACACCACGTTCACATTCAAAGTCGCTATGGCGGAGAGGCAAATGACCAAACGGCGCACCTCATAGAGGAGATCGTCCCTTCATGATCAGTCCTAATCCCAACATTAGCATAGGGTACTTCACTTCGCAGAAAGGCACGTCGAACGAGGTCAGTAGATGCGTCGCAGAGTTAAATCTGCGAGAAAACTCTCCATTATATGATACCACGTTGTGTGTACATCTAATGCCTTCTCCACTCCGGGCCAACGTTGCCCCACACTTCTCGAAGAGAGACAGAGGCAGATAAGATGCGCTCCGTTTGCAGACGGAAGTTGAGGACTGAGAGGTTGGCGCAGAGACAGGAGAATGGTCTTACAATCAACCAGACGCATGGAAGAGTGCATCTCCACATTCGCTGCAAGTGAAACTGGCGGGCCGCGCAGCGCGCAAGCTATTCTCGGTTGATGCAGCCTGGTGTCGTGACAGTCGATGCGAGAGTAGATGTTACCCCGGGTGTACAATCGCCCACACCATCGGAGGAGTTGCAGGAAGAGAAGCTTTGATGTTCAGGCTCTGTACGAGGGTGGCAAGTGAGCAGAGCGATAAGACAACCGGCGGAGTCAGCAGTCTTGGGGCGGAGAATGAGAAGTCGAGGTCGAGCCCGTTGCATGTGTGTGATGGATGCCGTGGGGAAGATGGAGAAGGATGGATATATTCTCGGCGGCGTCTTGGGCGAGCGGTTCGGACTGGCGACAGCCCCCGACCTGGACGAGCTGGACGACGACCGGAGTCCCCAGCGTAGCGCGCACACCGGGCGACATGGCCACATAAAGTAAGGTTTCTTCACACGTGGATTCTTCTCTCGAGCCCCTCGACCATCAAAACACCGCGCTCGCCGTACAGCAGCCCAGCGCACACCGAACGGCAGGCGTCGGCTTTCGGAATTTCGCAAGCAGACGGCATCGGCGCGCGCCACAAGTGAGCCAGAGACAGAGTCGGCGCGCAAGCGTGTCGGTGAGTTCTGAGCGGCGACGAGAGCGGAAACGGGATTTGAGTCGGAGTGAGTGCATCCCCCGCACATCTCTTCTTCTCCGCTCCTCGTCTGCTCGAGTCACTTTCTTACTCCAGAACATCTCTCTGACCGTCCTTCCAATGCCTGCAGATCGACCAAACAAGTTTATACTGCCCTTGACCGGTCAGTTCGGTTGCAACGCTGGCGACCCCATCGCGCCCCATCGCAATGACCCATGAGCAGTCCAAGTCGTCGACGGCGAACGGACAAGAGCATTTACACCCCATCGCGCCCTATCCGCCACCACCTTCGCAGTACAACGGTCACTATCCGCCACCACCTGGCGCTTACGCCGCGCAGTACTACTCTTTTGCCCCTGTCGCCGACGGCAGTCACGACTCCTCTCCCCCGAACGGTCACCCCGGCGCACCCTTCCTGATGGCGTACCCCCCTCCGCCTCCTGGGCTCGTTTATGCCTACGCAGCTCCTCCCCCTGGCCAAGGTATGTTGATGACTCATCACCCCCGAGGCTGATACTGAACTTTCTGAAGCGCCAGCGTACCCCCCTTTTGCACCCGGGTTGGCAATCCCCCAGCCTCCTCGGCCCAAGCGCAAGCAGGTCAAGATGGCCGTACGTGCTTCTTACCATTTTTTCTGTCGACTGGCAAGACTATAGACTCATTTTGGGCATTTAGTGCACGAATTGCGCGAGCGCTTGCAAGCGCTGTAACGAGACCCGGCCGTGCGACCGGTGCGTCAAGTACGGAATCACCGACACCTGCGTGGACGGCGTCCGCAAAGAACGCAAGAAAGGCGTCAAGCGCGGCCCGTACAAGCGCAAGAACAGGCTCGGCGAGGGCGGCGACGCAGGGGAAGGTCAGTACGTCGTGTGCGACGATGATCTCGTATTAATCTCCGGAGGCCCTGCAGCGAGCGGGGAGTCCTCCGTGCCGACCCCTGCCTACCCCATGCCGCCCGAAGGCTACTATCCGTGGTACTACCCGCCCCCCGGGTATATGCAGCCGCCCCACGACGGACAGCATCCCGAGGGGGCCCAGAACGGCAACGGTCAGCCTATGGTCCCGCAGTTTTACCCTCTCCACCCCATATACGCGCCCCCGCCGTACGGCCCGTACCCCGGCGGCGCTATACCGTACCCGCCACCTTCTCTGAGTCCCGTTGGCACTATGCCCCCCGCCCCCGCCGCAAACGGCAGAGCGGCGGAGCAGTCGCCGAACGACAATGCGGGTGAAAATGGCACGCGGGTGAAGAAGAGGAGCCGTGCGAAGAACGGCGACGACAGCTCAAAGGTGAAGAAGGCGAAGGCTGCTGCGGCTGCGGCTGCGGAACCTCAGCCCCAGAATGACATTGGCCGCGGGAAGGACTTGCACCTCACCGGGGATAATGTAGCTGCCCTCAACGGGCACAGCAACGGCAATGGCGCAGAGGTGCGCACGCTGATAGCGGCCTAACCCACCGCTTGCTCGCAGGCAATTGCGGAATCGCGACGGAGTCTCCTGCCTTTTCTCTCTGGCTTTTTACGGATTCTCATTCTTGGTATTTATGTGATCACGTCCGCTGTACCGACCATATTTTCTCAATTGAAATAATCACAATATTGTCCAGATGTGTCTGTCATGTTCTTTGGCCATCAACAGTGTGTGCCTGGGTGCTATGCTGTTGTTGGCCAAAAAACTGTCAGAACGTGGTTCCGGTGCAGCTGCCTGTCTGTTTGTGTATGTGTGTATATTAGTGCAGACTCTCTGATTGGCTCGGTGTGCGGGTGTCGAGACACGGTGACACGCGTACGTACGTATTATGTACATACTTGTATACATGCCACTCCTCCCGTTTTGTGCTTTCGGTTACGCTGTTCTACTTCGCTTTCGAGTTCTTGACTACTAGAAGTACATCTGTCGTACGATGAATGTATATTTATGAAGCCTTGTGCTGTTACTCCTGTGGGGCTGCAAATAACTTGGAGGTGCCCCGCGCCTGCGCTCCGCGTCCGAATTCTAGACCGAGCCTCTCTACAAGGCGGTTGTTTGTTTCCAAGGCTGCAGGCAAACAACGACCCCGGACACCACCGATTAAGGAAATACGCGAGAATTTTCCAGCGCTCCGCCAGCCCACCTCCTCGCTGACCTTCTCCTCCATTTTTTAACGTTTTCTCTCCCTAGTTCTCTTCCCCTCTACGTACAATAAAAATGTCTGCAATCCGTGCACTTCGACAGGTGTCTCTCTCTTCCAGCAGGCTCGCGGTGCGCAGCGCCCCTCGCACGCTCTGCCGCGCCGCGCTCGCACAGCGCGCTGCCCCTCTCTTCTCAGCGCGGGCCTTCTCGGTCACTGCCCGCGCGTGGGGCGAGGGTACGAGTGCGTGTTTTAATCGCATCTCAGTTTTGTGAGGCCCAATGCTCACGGGGGCGCATACAGCGGACGCGACGCTCTCGCAAAAGCTCACGGAGGAGCTCCAGTACGAGAAGCAGGCGGCGGAGGACAACCCCCAGCCCCGGCTCGTGAAGGAGCTGAAGGAAGAGGGGATCTGGGCGGTGCGTCACCTCCTCGGCTTTCTCTCCTCCCCCTTTTTTCTTCGTCGGCTGATAGGCTTCGATTCGTGCGCACAGATTGAGGACGTCGCGGGCAACGACGAGGTCGCGCTGACGCGCAAGTTCGGGAACGAGACGTGCGTCGATTTTTCGCTCGCTGTTGTGCTTGTGTGTGTGTTTTTCGGGTGCCCCATGCTGACGGGCGTGCAGCATTCGCCTGATGTTCTCCATCGCGGACATCCAGGGCGAGGAGGAGAGCCAGTTCACCGAGAACCAGGAGAGCCAGGAGGAGGAGGCGGAAGAGGACGAGCCGCAGCACGCGTACCCCATCCGGTGCTCGTTCTCCCTCACCAAGGTGCGCCCCTATCTCTGCTTGTCCCCCGCGCTCCCCGCGCTTGCTGAACAGATGCGGCGCAGTCTGGCGTGGAGGGCGCGTTGACGGTCGATGCGATGTGCCAGGAGGGCGCGTTCGTCGTCGACAATATCTCGTTTTATAGCAATACGAAGGTCGGCACCGAGCTGACGGCGGAGGCGGACTGGAAGCGCCGCGGGCTGTATATCGGTCCTCAGGTCAGTGAGATGCGCTTTGGTGGTGCTGGCGTGCCGGGCTGATGAGGTGCGTTCTTGCAGTTCGACACGCTGGATGTCAACGTGCAGGAGGAGTTCGAGAAGTTCCTGCAGGAGCGGGGGATCAACGAGAACCTCGCGTATTTGGTGCCCGAGTACGCCGAGTTCAAGGAGCAGAAGGTGCGTGCTGTCTCGCTGGCTTGCGTTGCCGCCGTCTGATGTCCGGCTGCGTTGCGCAGGAGTACGTGCACTGGCTGCAGAACGTGAAGAAGTTCGTGGACGCTTAAGTGTTCGCCGACTCTCTGTTCTGTACGCGCCCCTCCACTGTTTGCCCCGCACCTAAAAGACCGGACACCCATCATCGTACCATCTCTACTGTCGTAGTTATTGCCTGCTTGATATACGTCTAATTGCACACACACACTTCTCCGGACAATGTCAGCTTACCGCACGTTGCTCACGTCGCATGACTGCCCCGCGCGTCATCGTACGATATGTGAGCGCTGCTGCGCTGGCGTTCGGTCGCCTTCTGTCAATTAGTGTTACTGCCGAGTGCTCGTGGCTCTCATCTCCGAGAACACACGAATATCATACCTCTGAGAGTAGGCTGGGCTGGGCTATAATGCATACTGACGTGGATGCTTTGGGCGATGCTGGAACGCCCTGGAACAGACACAAGCGCCTGGATATCTGAACGTGGCGGCATGATAACGCACTGTTCGAGGCCGTTCTGTGGACGAGCCCGAACATTCTCGCAGGATCCTCTGCGCAACGTTCTCGAGGCTGTTCCTGCTGACGACACGAGCTGCCTCAGCGACACGTAGCCGCCGCGCCAGGTATAAGAGCCGCCATGCCTCTCACCTCATCTCCCCCAACCAGCTGAGCATCGTCGCAGCGGCCGTCGACCCGGATATCATTGGATATATATCCCTTCTCGAGTGCATACTCTCGCTCAGAATGTCTGCCCCAGTCGACATCGTACGTCCTTCGTCTGCCTTTGTGACCAGCGACGTACCTTCGGGTTCTCCGACGGGCAAGTACGTGCCCATCCACAAGCGCAGCGCCTCCGTCGCACCCTCGTGCGGTTCCTCCCCTCCGCGCCATAGTGCACGCTCACCAGCGCGTGGCAAGCGCGCCAGGTCGCCTTCCTCTGCGCGATCGCCGTCATCCTCCGCGGTCCCCCGCGCACGCGTGGCTCGTAAGTCCCCTCCCGATGCGTGCAGTGAGTCAGCGATGTCCTAACCGCGTCTGCTCTGCACCAGGCCCCGCCACGCCTATACCCACGCACCACACGATACCCATCTACTCCATCCCGGAGCTGATCGCCCTCTCTGCATCTCCGCTCGTGCAGCTCCCGTCTGTGCAGCGCGAACGCATGGTCCATTTATTCCCCACCATCGTCTCTCACACCGTCTCCGCACCTACCGCGTCTGCACCCGAGGAGAAGGCGCCGCTCCGCCGTCGCCGTGCCGGCCGCAAGAGCAGCGCGAAGAAGCTGCAGGCCGCGAACGTCAGTACGGACGTCGAGAGCCGCAGACGGCGCCACGGCGCGTGGGGCTGGCACGAGCATGTGCCTCTCGAGGACAGCTGGAGACATCCCGCCGTCGTCGCGGTCAGCGTATAACTTAATTCTTAATTCACGACCAACGAAGGGGGACGAACGGACTGGAGATGTATGATGGCTATGAATTAGTGTAAATGTTGTCGGGTAATCGCTGTAACAGTATCATTCAATATTAACACCCACCACTGAGTTCGAGTCGATTGGTGTTTGAGTGATCTTGGATCTGGGATCTTGAGATATTATCTAATCGCTTTGTCCTAGATCCGCTCAGCCATTGGTTCAATCCCGACCCAACGCAGTTTGATTCGTATACACTGTACAGTTCGACTGCCGCATTTTAAAATATAATCTGTGTCTGGAAATGTCCCAAGTTTCTCTCGCAGGTTTTATGTGTTCTCGCTCCCCGTGATCATTTCTCGCAGGAATTCATCGGCAATATACGTGCCACACCGCTGCAATATTACCTCTTTCAACATCGATCGTCGTGCGCCTCAAGATACTGCTCGTCTCTCATGCTAGTGCATTTCATTTCTATGGCAATACTATGCATCGAGACGTTCCCGAAGCTCCCGGTCCCAACGCTGCCTAGAAGAGTCACTTTCAACGCCAACAGGTTCGACCGAGTTGCATGCAGACCGATGGAAACGTCGATTCTAGCGGATATTCCCGTTCCGAGTTTGGCTTCCCGCTGCTGCCTTTGGCTTTCCGCAAACTTGCTGAGGCCTGCTTAGAAGCTGCCAACAGGAGGTTGGAAGCGCCTGGGCAGCCCACTGTATCCATTCGATGAGGTTTGTGTTCTTTGTGTGCTCTACAAGTTATGGTGAGGCTCTAGCGTTGAGTTGTGTTTACAGGATCTTCCCCACCATTGGAGCGCTACTCAACGCCAAGCGTGGAAGGCTCACACATTCCAAATCGGGACTTCCTTCCTAGGCCATGATTTCCGACTGCAACCCCTGCGTCTGCGATGGTAACTACCCCTATCGCCGCGGAAGGAGAGAGGGGCCTCCGAAAGTGAGCGGGGGCATAAATACCCGTGTGTGAGGAGGTTTGGGTGGCAGTCTCCATTCGAGCACCTTCTTGACGATGTCTGTCATTCTCGTTACCGGAGGCACTGGTCTTGTTGGCTCAGCTATCAAATACGTCATCGAAAACGAGCCTGAGGGTTCACGATTTGGCAAGAAACCTGGGGAGACGTGGATCTTTGCCAGTTCCGCTGAGGCCGACTTGAGGTGAGGGGTTATTGATTCTAAATTCCCCCGTCGTAGAAATTAACATTGAGGGCAGGGATCCGGAACAGACCAAGAAGCTCTTTGAGAAGTACAAGCCTACTCATGTGATCCATCTCGCTGCCATCGGTATGTACCTCGCTGTTGCATCGCGAATCCTATGGGTTGATCATGCTACCGTAGTCGGGGGCGTCTTCATCAACATGAAGTTACAGGTCGGTTGTACTCCCGTCTTCTCATGGTACATTGGCTTACACGGACCCGCAGCTCACTTTCCTCAGGGACAATGTCTTGATCAACGACAATGTCCTGTACACCTCCTACCTCTTCGGCGTCAAGAAGGTCATCTCCTGTCTCTCGACCTGTGTCTTTCCGGACAAAGTTTCATACCCGCTGGACGAGACGAAGATCCACCTCGGGCTCCCACATGCGAGCAACTTCGGCTACGCGCAGGCAAAGAGGCTGGTAGACGTTCAGAACCAGTGAGTGCCGCGTCGCTAAGTATAGCCTGCCTATAGTCGTAATTTTCGCATTGTGTAGTGCGTACAAGGACCAGTACGGATGCAACGTTACGTCCGCGATCCCGACGAACATCTTTGGCCCGCACGATAACTAGTGAGCCGTCCGCGTCTCCTATTTGTTCTTCTTTTCTTTTGCTTACGTGAGTATGTGCTTCAGCGATCTCGAGAGCGCGCACGTCATCCCAGGGCTCATCCACAAGTGCTACCTCGCCAAGAGTATGCACTCGTCCAATCTCAATTTTACGAGACTGACTCTCTCCGCAGAGAACGGCACGCCGTTCGTCGTAGCGGGCACCGGGAAGCCCCTGCGGCAGTTCATCTACTCCCGCGACCTTGCGAAGCTTTTTATCTGGCAGCTGCGGGAATACGAAGACGTCGAGCCGCTCATTCTCTCCGGTACGCGTTCATCTGCATTTCTCCCCAGTCAATATTCGATTTCGGTGCCATGACTGACGCCCGGCGTGCACTGGCAGTCGAGGAGCACGAGGAGATCAGCATCAAGGAGGTTGCGGACGTGATCGTGAAAGCGATGGAGTTCGAGGGCGAGTACACCTTCGACGCCAGCCGCACCGACGGCCAGTTCCGCAAGCCTGCGTCGAACAAGAAGTTGCTGTCGCTTATTGGCGAGTTCAAGTTTACCCCGTTCGAGGAAGGTTCGTGGACTGCCCTCGCTAGACCCGTTTATTAAGCTGACCGCGGTTTTGCACAGCGTTGGAGGAGAGTGTTAGCTGGTTCGTGAGGAATTACGAGAACGCCAGGACGAGCAAGGGACAATAGAGTGGCGTTCTCCTGGATCTAGAGTGTGCGCACACCGAGACACCCGTAACTTAAGAACCAGAGCGCCGGATTTTACTAGGCTTTAAGTTCCATCAGACTGCGAGTTGGGGACCCAGGATGCTGCTTGATGCCACCACTATCGTAGTGCGTTTCATGTTTCTCTCACGTACGATGGCGTGGAGAGAACGAGATACTGTTGATGCTCTCGGTCCGGATCCCAACCTTCTTAAAAGTCGCGCATTATTTGCTGACATGTTGCATATCAGCTATCGCTTTTCTAGTCGGTAGGTTAGATCGGCACCGCCTCTGGAGTCTCAAATGAATGCTACTTTTCTGATTTGTTTTCTTCTGTGCCTCTGTTTTGCGTCTTTCAGTGCACTGCAACCGTGTTAGCGTTGCATTGGAACGGCCCTTATAGTCCATGGCATCCGCGTGTGTTGATGGGAGGATGCCATCGTGCAATATTAATGTGGATGAATCGATCGCGGTCGTTCCGACATTCAACTGGAATTATTTGGGATCCGCCTTCTTCGACTTCTTTGTCACTTTCTTCGAGGCTGTGCTCTAGTCTCCCGTGGGCAGACTGACACTTGCTTCAATCTTCGTGCCTCAGGATATCTGTGTCGGACCAAAGTCCTGGAGTTGGTTGCTTCCGCACTGGAGCCAAAGGAGGATCGGCGGTCGGAGCCCAGCCTGACACCGTCACTTATCTCTCCGATCCATCATTGGTGCTGCATTCTGTCCAATCACTGGACCAGGACCATTCCATCAGGCTTATGGTTAGACTCAATTCGTACGGCTGGCCTATCAGACGCGCCCCTTTAGCGCTCGCGTTTGATAGGCCCTCATCAAATACGTCCCTCCCTACTTTCCCTGCTCTCGCCTTGGCCCTTGTCGCGATCTCCGACATTATGTAAAAGGTATGCCAAAAATATCCGCACACTTGCGATGCAGTGCAGCCTCGATACTAAAGAGTCCGGCGTCAAGCGGACAATGTCTAGGTTTAAAACGATCTAAAATTCAAGCTCAAAGATGGAAGACCATTGTCAGTGCAGAGCACAGAGCAAGTAACCGCAAGCTGTGATATTGCTGAGACGCGGGTCTAGAGTAAGGCACCTACTGAGGTGATCGAAGTAAGGAAGGTAGGGAGGGACGTATGTATTTGATACAAGAGGCAGGCAGAAAGAAAGTTCTCGACACGACCTCACATCCGAAGGGACCCCGAAAACTGGGGTAGGTAGCCTGATTTGGCGCCGAAAGCTGCCGAAAATACAGGTTCCTTCCGTCCTGGGTAGGCGAGACGCGTCCAAGACACATGCAGTACAGCTGGTATTGACAGGGATCACGGTGCTGAGGCCCTGCTTGAAGTCTGTGGGTGTAGTGACTCTGCTGTTGATTACGCATTCGGCCAAGTCGGATGAGACTCCTCGTGGTGCTGCTTGGTGCATAACTTGAGGAGAGGCATGCCGCTGAGATGTGGGTTACCCAAAACAACCAACTTGGCACGAAGACGTGAGCGAACAATCATACAAGCGAAGTGCCGTGCACAGTCACGTGCCTTTTAATCGAACTCGCCTGCATGTAAGCTGTAAAACTTCGTCTTTTCGCTGGGAGAAAAAGGCTGAGTACCCTATTTCAACCCTGAAACATGCTGTGAGACATGAATTAGGAAGAAATCCCAAGAGGATTCTGTGTTACTGAGAAGTATAGGGCAAAGTGGGCGAAAAGCGCGAAAATGACCCCCGGAGACCGGGGGGTACCCTCAAGAAGCATAGATCCGTGTCTGCGATTCAGATCTCGCCTGGTGATGAGGGCCATTGCAAAGGAGGATCGGCAGTCGGAGTCAGCCGGACGCCGTCACGTATGGATCTCCATTGCGTTGAGTCCTGCTGCGTTCTGTTCAATCACTGGATCAGGACTCGGGCTTATGGTTAGATTAGTCTAAGGTTCGAACGTCTGCCAGTGTTACCCGCGCAGGTTCCATCGCTGAAGAGCGTGCTGTCGTTATGCTCAGGGCACGATTGAGTCGCCAGACAGACTGCCTATGATGATCTCTCTCGTCTGTCGGTGCCATATTCCACCCACCTGGCAACCGAGTACAGGGCGTTTAGCAGTCTGGAACGCAAAATCTAGAAAAGTCGTATCTAAACTGCGTTACGCCGCGAACCCAGTCGTTACCATCCGCTGGGCCGGAATTCGACAGCTGCCGCCGGTGCTTGCACGGGCCCGAGTCCTTGGGTATGCGGTTCCGTGTGATGCGGCGGTTCGACGAGGAAACAGCCGTGCAGATGCCGTAACTTCGCGCGTCCTGCAGCTGAGGGATGGATCAGGTGCGGAGGGGCGACAGGTACTTGAGCGTCGCTCCCGGGACCAAGGGAGACTGCACCCCGCCGCTCTTCTGTAGGTACCATGTCAGGATCAGACGCAGATCAGCTGGAGGAATGGCAGGAGCTCCTCTCGTCCTACCAGTTCTCGTGAGCATATTGATATCCCGCCCTGATTCTTTCGCCTCTCGGCCTAACGTATGCGTGCTTCTGCAGCATCACCGATAACTACTGCGAAGTTGCTGCGCTCGGTGAGTTAGCTCGGCATAGTCGTATGACATCGATGTGGTTGACTGACGGTGCTTCGGTGGTTTGCGTAGCGGTACTTTTCTATGATCACATGCTTACCTTGCCCGCAGAGGTGAGGTTCCTCTGGACGCGCAAGTTCTCCGGGGCGACGCTCTTGTTCATGCTGAACCGATATATCACGCTATTTGGGAAGACCATCTTGCTTGTTACTGGTTTCTCGTGGCCAAACCAGACAGATGCGGTGCGTATCTCTATGCTAAGTTTGCAAGAAATCCCATCTTACCGATGTTCTGTCTCTCAGAGGTCCGATTAATCATAATGATATTGCAATTGTGTATTCTGACAGCTCGAGCAGTTGCGCGGCACCGGTGTACTTGGTCGAGATATCCACTATCAGTGTATACATCATCGTCGCGCGTACGGTCCCTCACGATCTAGACGTCAACTAGCTTGCTGAAGCATCGCGTTGATGCAGTGATATCCGCGCTCCGCATATATGCGATATGGAACAAGGACTGGAGGCTCTTCGCGCTTGTCCTGGCGGTCGGCCTCGCCGTCCCCGCCATCAATATAGTGAGGCAAACCTCGAAAATTAAACCATTATATACAGCTGACGCTGTGCTCAGTACCATTATGCTAACTCTGTTCCAGCCGCATTCGCGCCGTGGCCGCTGTACGGCTGCGCAGAGAATGCGTCGCTGAGTCCCGCGGTATTTGCCAAGTGAGCACTCTCCTCGCTGTGCAATGTTTCAATATTCTGACAACCTCTGCAGATGTGAGCATATATGCTATGTTTCCTGAGAGCATGCTGACTGCAGATGCAGTGTCGCTTGCGACACATTCGTGTGCGATCGGTGTCGATGCCCTCGTACTCTTTCTTACATGGATCAAGACGTATGGGATCAGGAAAGTTGCATCGCAGATGCATATCAAAGCTACGATTTCGACGCTTCTGCTTCGGGATGGTGAGTTTCACACTCCTGTAGTACTAGTGGATGATGGCTGATGCGGTGTAGGCACTATTTATTTTGGGTATGTTGTCGCACCTTTATCCGTTTGAGTTTGAAGCCAACGGGGCTTGGATTGCAGGACCATGCTGGCCCTCAATGTTGTCGATCTCATCATCGTGCAAAGCGACGTGGTGCGCATACTCCGCTGTTTGGGCCGACTACCGCTGCTGATTCTCCGGAACAGATCTTCAACCCACTCCCCAACTTCATCGACGTGTGCGTATCTCTTCCTCTACGCAGCGTTCTCACAGATTTGCACTGACCACACCACCAGAATAACGTGCATCCTGATCTCGCGCTTCCTCTTGAACCTGCGCGAGGTCGTCGTCGACGGGGACGGCAACCAAGGCGAGTCGCTCGACGTGTCGGCGCGGCTATCTCTGCAGTTTGCAGCGAGTGTGCTAGGGAATATTGGTGCGCCCCTCGAGCATACCATGTGGTCGGCGAGGCACGAGGGTGTGGAGGAAGAAGGGGAGGAGGAGGAACAGCGGGAGCGGGTGCTTAGGGTGTCGAGTAACCCGCTCATGGTCGGCCTTGGAATGGAGGACGATGGCGTGTCTTCGACTGAGTGCGTATATTTGTGACATTCAAGCCAAAGCTAATTTTGCTTGTTTTCTCATGTGCAGGTTGGTGAGTGTTTCCAGTGTCTATACGTCCAGTGTGCAGAGGCTGAAGAGTCAGGTGCAGAACCCAGTCAAGTTCAGCACGCCACACGACGTGGAAAATTCCCCTGCCTCAATGTGAGGATGTCACGCTGAATTCGGCATTTTCTTGGTGGTGTAGATAGTTTTTTTGTTCGTTCTTGGCGTACTATATCAGCTCCATAATCTGAGGCGTTCGCTGGCGGGTTCCCAAACATTCTGTAGTGAGTATCCACTTCTGTATGTCTTTTCTAATCCTTTCTTCTTACTTTATCTGCCACATATGTAAAGCAGCTTAAGTACTTGTACTTGTGAATTGTATGATGAGATCAGTGCACATCTCGACCGGCTTGACCGACCGTCAGTGATCCAAAAACATTGAAATCAGAATTTTACCGGTCATCGAATCTTTTGCGGAGGAGAAACGAACGTGCGTTCTCATCCTCGACAGCACAGTACTTTCTTCACGAGCAGGGTACCACAAAAATAATCAATGCAGGGGATGAACGGCAGCCTGTCGCACCTGTGCGAGAGAGGCGAATTCAGAATATACCATATTTGGCAGGGACAATACGAACTCCGATTGAAGTAGCGAGATCGTGTCAGGGGTGAAATTTACTTAGTCGCTCTGACTTTGATCACTCTCTCGTCCGTCCATCACCTCGTCAACCTCATTTTACTCTTTTCTTCAGGTTTTTTTCGCCATGGACGTTGACATGAAAGTCAAAGACGAAGTCGAGGACAAGCGGGACCGGGACCGGGACCGGGACCGCGACGCCGACCGCGACAGAGAGAGGGAGCGCGAGAGAGACAGAGAAAGGGAGAGAGATAGAGACAAGGACAGGCGGGACCGCGACAAGGACCGCGACCGTGACCGCGACCGCGACAGGGACCGCGACAGACGCGAATCTGGTGAGTTCCCACCGCCGCCAGCTGCCCCTCAGGCCGATGACAGACCTCGCGCACCGCAAGGCCGCAGTCGTCGAAGTGGCGGTGATCATTGGGAGCCGGATGACAGACGCAACGGCGATGTGAGTACCTCCAGGTCGTGTGCTTCGAGTACCGGTGTGGACATGACTTTCTATTTTAGCGTCGCAGACGCTCGCGCACCCGCTCTCGTTCTCGCTCTCGAAGACGCTCCACTTCTCCTCGACGCCGCTCGCGTCGCAACGATACGCGCTCCCGGTCTCGCAGCCGTTCGCGCAGCCGCTCGCGGAGCCGTGACCGCAAACCTGCGGATTCTTTCTCGCGCTCTCTGGGCGGCCCGATGAACGCGCCGCATGAAGAGGCGGTCGAATTTGCCAAGCAAAGCAAGAGAGAAAACCGGGTCTACGTCGGCAACCTCAGCTACGACGTCAAGTACAGGGACCTGATGGAATTTATGAGGGGAGGTGGGTTGGGGAATCTCAGATTAGTTTCTCGTATCTTCAGTTGGCTTCGGATGAGAGGTGTGATGTGGCCGGCGATTCGCTGAGAGTCTGCTTGAGGACAGAGAGTCTACTTGAGGGCAGGGGTCTGCTTGAGGAGAGAGGCGCTGTGTCGAGGCTGCGGGAGTTTTACGCGTTTTTCCGGTTTACTGACGGATGGATGCTGAGAGGATGGTTATTGATGGGAGTTTTCTTTTGGGGTTGTTAGCTGGTGAGGTCCTGTTCGCCGAAGTGCTCGTTACCCCGACAGGCGTCTCCAAGGGATGCGGGTGAGTCTACATGATTTTGTTGATGTGCGGCGTCGGAAGGTCTAATGTCATGTGTAGTATCGTCGAGTTTACTTCGCAAGAGGATGCTCAACGCGCGATTCGCGAACTCTCTGAACAGCCACTTCTTGGCCGTCCTGTGTTTATTCGTGAAGTATGTATTGGGATTTGCTGACACGATGATTTCTCACTTGTTATTTGCAGGATCGGGAAAATGAGTCTCGGTTTGGGGCGACTCCTGTTCCAGGTAAGATCGGGATGGCAATGGCAGGCCAGGGGCTACACGCTGCACCACCACCTCGTCCTCCGTCTCATAATTTCTTCGGTCACCAAGGCGCAAATCCAGGCAATCAACTCTATGTGGGAAATGTGCGTTGAAGATGGATTTGCTGCTTGGCATCTGATTTACCTACCGCTCGTTTAGCTCCCCTACCAGGCTGGGTGGCAGGACCTCAAGGACCTGTTCCGCTCAGCAGGCAACATCATCCGTGCTGATATCAACATTGGTGCCGACGGCCGTCCCAAAGGATCCGGCACTGTTATTTTTGAGACGGCGAAGGATGCACAACAAGCTATCAGTAAGGCACTATCATTTTCCCTCTCAACGTATTTTTAACGTTCACGCAGGCATGTACAACGGCTTCGACTGGTACGGTCGAACGCTGGAGGTTCGAGAGGTAAAATCAACACTAAGCACCATCATGGAATATATGAATGAACTCTCGTCTGCAGGATCGTTATGCCGGCCTCTCTGGCCCCGGTGCATTCCGTGGCGGTCTGCGTGGAGGCCTGCGTGGCCTTCGCGGCTTCCGTGGCGGCTTACGTGGTGGTTTCCGCGGCGGACTCGGCGGAGCTGCAGGTAGAGACTTCTCGAGCCAGGATCTGTATGCCGACTATTCCGGCCCCGATCAGCAAGCTGCTGCCGGCGGGCTGAGGATGGATGCCTACGGTGCCGGCAACTTTGGCGGTGCTGGCCCCGGATACGGTGGCTACGAGGCTGAGCCCAGTCAGCAGATTATGGTGCGGAATGTGAGTGACCCCCAGGACTTTGTGGCGGACCGTGTGGATTGTCCCTCTAATTTTTTGTGCTCCAGTTGCCCTGGTCGACTGCGAATGAGGATCTTGTCGAGCTCTTCGAGACTACCGGCCAGGTCGAGCTGGCTGAAATCCTGTTCGAGGGCACCCGGTCGAAGGGGTGCGGCGTTGTGCAGTTCAGCAACGTCCCCGAGGCGGAGACCGCTATAGGTACGCATATCTCTTGCTTTCAGTTTTCAAACCTCTTAACATGCATTGTAGCCAAATTCCAGCAATACATGTACGGTGGACGACCTCTAGGTGAGTTTACCCAATCCGTGGGCAGCTATCAGAAGGTTGACTTTGAGCCAGATGTCCGGTTCAACGATCGCTGGCATACATTCACTCCTACCGCTGCGAAGGGGGGCCAGACCATTCCTATGCAGCAAGATGTCGTCTAAACGCGTGCTCGATCCCTTTGTATTGATTTTATTGACATCCCTCCTCATTGTGTTTTTCGAGAACGTCAAAATTAAGCTCTATGATGCTTAGGTTTTTCTATTTCCTGTGCAATGTAACGGGGAACAAATACAAAATGTGTCGTGTCGTCTGCGAACTAGATCGTACATACAACTATCAGCATTTCGTCAGCCCTGCCAACGCCCCAAGTCCCAGAACCCATGTATGTGCTGCAGAATGATGTCAGTAAAGAGGTCGTAAAGTGTAATCAGCTTGCGAGTGGATCTGCGTGATGCGTGTGCGTCTAGAGGTTGCTGTGGGGCGCCGCCGGCTCCTCGGGGTCGCGCACGAGGAGGAGCAGGTGCTCGACGACCTCCTCTGGCGCAGTGACGTGCCACGCGGCGAGCGTGCGCTTGCTGCTGTGGCCGACGGCGGTGGTGAAGACGGAGTCGCGCGTGAGCGCGAGGTCGACCGGCTGGAACTTCTCCACGGGCTCCTTCTCGATGAGGGTGACCGAGAGCGGCGGGTCCATGTGGGCCTTGGTGGCGTCGCCGGGGAAGAGGAGGAGAGCGCGGAACATGTCTTCGTCTGTCTTGTCGTCGCCCGCGCAGAATACGAACTCGGCGTCGGGGTGGAAGTAGAGGATCCGCTTCACGATCTCGCCCTTGTTCACGGCGAGCGGCCGGACCTCGAGGTTCTTCTTGCCCACCAGCACTGTACAGAAGTCTTAACGTACAATTCTGCGTAAATCGCGATTGCGAGCTCACCTTCTATGGGGCGCTTACGCGCCACGTTATTTTGGAGCAGATCTTGACATTGATGGCACTGGAAGAGACTGGACGGGCTACAGGTGAATAAAAGCACGACAAGGAGAGACGGACGGCACATACCCCCACTCCGGGTCGCTCGAGCGGTAATGCCACGTAATCGAGCTCTTCTTGACCTCGATATGGCTGCCGGTCGTGCGCTCGGTGTAGTACTTGAACACCTCGAGCACCTCCGCCATCCAGCTCATGTCGAGGTTCTCCGTGAAGTTGCTCCACTCCTTCTCGCCGGGCGAGCGCACGAACCCGCCGTGCTCCGCGGACATGCCGAGGTTCTGGATGTGCCCGAGGTGCTGCTCCAGGAACGCGCCGTCGCGCCCGGAGATGATGTACACGATGTTCTTCGGGTCCGCGGTCAGTCGCTCGAGCGCCTCGAGCGTGTCCGGCGAAGGCACGGCCATGCTTGGCACCTTCACGATCGGCGAGAGCGTACCCTGCACAACGTATCAGCAGCCAGCATCACGATGAGGGGAAAGGGAAGGAGCACACATCGTAGTCGAGGAGGAACAGCCGCTTTTTCGCAGCCCTGTAATGATTCTCGAGGTTGCCCTTGGGGATGAACGGCGTCTGGCGCGCCTGGTTCTGGCTCCCTACGTGGGTGAGGAGCATCTTGGCGAGCATCGCGGCCCACGAGTGGGACGTATGCGTCGTGACAACGCGGTACAGGCGCTGGTGGCGCTCGAGCTTCTCCGCCTCGGGCATGGTGAGGCCCCGGTTCATCGCGGCGGCGACCTCGCCGAGGTTCCAGGGGTTGATCTGCAGCGCGTCGGTCATGTTACTCGAGATGCCCATGAACTCGGAGAGGACGAGCGGCGAGCGCTTGGTGCGCTCCTGTGCGAGAATGAACTCCATCGACGTCGTGTTCATCCCGTCGCGCAGTGGCGTGATCACGCCGAGGTCCGCGACGGACAGCAGCGCGTAGAACTCGTCCTTCTTGATCGTCTGGTGATAGTGGTGCACGGGGATGAAGTCCAGCGAGCCGTACTCCCCGTTGATGTGCGCGACGAGCTCCGACACTTGCCGTTCCAGCTTCGGCGAGTCCGACAGCGCCGGCGACGTCACCTGGATCAGCACCACGTTCCCGATCCACTGCGGATAGTCCTGCAGCAGCTTCTCGAATGCTCGCAGCTGCAACAAGCACGTCAGTCACGGTGATGCAGCATCGACCGCCACACGCACCTTCTGCACGACACCTTTCACAACGTCCAGCTTATCTCGCCCCACAATAATCTTCTTCCCTTCGTACAGCGCGCGGAGTGCCTCTAGCTTCGGCTGTATGCCGGGTCTGAGCCTACTGGCCTTGCATTAGCACGAATGACGAACCACGCTATGAGGTACTCACGTATCCTTCATGACACGTTCCGCGTCCACGCCGACGGGGCAGTACGCGATCGCCACGACGTGCCCCTGCACGTCAATCCCGCCCTGCGGTGTAATCTCGTACCCGCACACGCGCACGCATGTCGACGTGAAATGTCGCGAGTATGAGTACGTCTACCAGGCACACAAAAGTCACTGTCAGTCCGGGGAATTGGGTATAAGGGGGAGGGTGCGCACCTGGAAGCAGATGAGGTTCGCGCCGAGCATGCCGTCGAGGATCTCCTTCCGCCGCGGGAGACATCTGCGCGAACTCGTAAGTAGGGCACATGGATGCCAGGTAAAAAGGGAAAGACCCACCTAAAGATCTCCGAGCTCGGAAACGGCGTGTGCACGAACAGCCCAACGGCCGCGTCGGGAAGCGCCTGGCGGAGAAGACCGGGAACGAGCAAGAGGTGATAATCATGCACCCATATCAGGTCACCTAATTCACCAGCACCCGCCACCGACATCGGGAAGAATAAATCAGTTCCCGCCCAGGAGAGGTGAAGGAAGGACGCACCAGGCTTGTACACCTCCTCGACGCGCCGTGCGAATGCAGCGTTCACCGCGGCATAGGGCTCCCAGTGCGCGTCCGCCGATGCATATTCCGTTGCGACATCCTGCCAGAGGAGGTAGTGGAACAGTGGCCAGAGAGCTGCATAAAGCCATGATCAGTAACCGCTGGTGTAATTGGTTGTGCAAAAATCGTTAAGGATGAGAGAACACAGCTAGGGAGTACGGCCAGAGGCCAACGGCGGTGCGATGGTGTCACTTCCGGCCCACACCTGACACGCGAACCGCCCGACACGGACACGTGAGTACGAACTCCCCACGCACGCGCAGGGCGCATACACCCAACCCTCCGCACCCAACTTGCCACGCCCGCTATCTCGCTATCTCCCACAGAAGAAAAGTGAAGACGACGAGCAAAGGCACGGGGCACCGCGGCTCGCGGCCCGCCACACACAGGGAAGATCCCGAGGAAGATACGAAAGGGAAGAAGACAGAAGGCTCGAACGAAAACACAGGCCACCACAAACGCGGCGGGCGAAGATCCCCAACCGGGGGCGGCGCACGCAATACAAATCCAGTGAGGCTAAAGCTTCCAGATCGTCGGACGCGCTGCTCCGAAGATATTGCGGAACGGCGTGCAGAGGTAAGTAAGCAGCAGGTGGGATGAAATCAAATGAAGTGCACGAGGCGGAGGACGGACTGGGACGGAAGAGCGAAGATTTGATAACAAACAGAAGAAACGGGCGTGGGGGAAGCACGCTGGCATCAGCGGAATTGAAACGTGCAATCGAGAAGGGGCGAGACGTCGCCAAGTGGAGAAGAAGAAGCAGTAAAGGAAGGAGAACAAACTGAGGGGAAGTGTCTGAAAAGGAAAGCGTAACGGAACAGACGCGATGGGAGGATGCGCAGATTGATGGAAGGAATCGGCTGAAAAGGAAAGAGAGATTGCAGAACGTGCGCAGCACACCGGTACGCGAAACGCAGAAACGAGGGGAGAAATGCGAGACATGCGAAAGACGAAAGAGAACGCGAGAAACACGGAGAGGACTCACTTTGCTTGCAATAGCCATCGTAGTGCTCGTGCGCCTGCTTGTCGTCGAGCCAGACTGGGATGTAGGATATCTTCTTGCCGCCCTCCGAGACCTCGTCGCGGGAGCGATAGGTATTAAGAAGGTCCTCGAGACCCTGCTTGTCTCTGTCCTCAAGCTGGGACGTGAGCACCCTCCCGCTCGGGGGCTCAACGACACCGGGAATCGCCGGGGACGGGGCAATGAGCGCGGGCGTAGCTGGATGCACTGTGTCGATATCTCCGGTCCAGCCGATGAGGAGCTGCTCATGCGTTGCAGAGAGCGAAGATATGCCACTGACCATGGCGGAATGGCCATAGCGCACGGAGAGAGACCATCTGTCGCGGGGGTCGATAGGCTGCGACTCGTTGATAGGCACGCCGTCGATCTCCTCCGCGGTAATGGAGACCTGTGCGATGGGCTCGAAGGCGATGTCTGTGGGCTTGGCGGTGGGGGTCGCGGGTGGGCTGGGGAGGCCCTGGGCGGAAGCGAGGGTTGCGAAGGACGCATGGACAGGGAGGTAGTGGCAGACGTGGATGATTCTGCCAGAGAGAGGGATGCCTGCGGCACGGTAGTCCTCCTCGAGCTTCTTCACCTGGGCGCGGACCTCGGGGAGGGAGATGCCTTCTGTCGGGCGGTGTGTGCCCGCAAAGCTGTCCATAGTATTTCGTTCCTAGTTGTGGATGAAACTGGGTGAATGTAGGCAGAACAGGACGGGGAGACTATAAGTACCAGTCCAGGTCTGGCCGGCGTTCTATCGGAGAACACCATCGCTCGCTCTCTCCGCCAAATCAGGAACGGGATCCTCAGTCAAGTCACGTGCATCTTCCCGACGTCATGCTCCTCGTCGTCTCCGTTGGTCCTCAATCCTGAGCGCCTGGGCCCACCAGTCACCGTCTCCCCCACGCCCCAACTTTGCATGACCACGAACCCCAACGGTTTCTGATGTCTCCGGCGGAGGCATGTGCAAAATGCGCGCGCCTACGTCACGGCGGGCGATTTCTACCCGTCTCGTACATACCGTGATCGTCCTCCAGCGAACTCGGACGCCTGTTAGATCTTCTGGCCATCCCCAGTTGGCGCATGCTCGGACAGCTGCACATTCCCCGCTGACGATCTGCCTAATCGCCTTTGCGGGGTGTCCATCAGCGCGTTCGTCACTCTCTGCGACAAACGTGGGCCCTTTACCCCTTCCTCATCGTGGAGAGAGTGCACGGTGGCAGGGTGTGATTAACGGTGACCCGTGTCGGGAAGACTTGTGCAGGAGAACGAAAATACCCGGTAAACGGCCGTTTCCGCACAAACATAGGTTCTGAAAACACCGCCCTACGAATGCAGCTCGTTGCGACTCACCTGGTCAATGTGGTAGGTACCGCAGCAGGGATACTACAGAAGACTCGTCTAGCGTGCGACTGGTGATGGTACGAGGAAGAGAAAGTTTGGGGGCCATTTGTGCAATGACCCGTCTTATATGTACCGGCTCTCCCCCCATTCTCGTCCTCGGCTTGGGGCGTCGCGGTGTGTGCTCTGATTCGTCCGTTCGTCCCACGGATTCATATTCATGACGCAATGACGTATATGTATGGTCCAAGTGAATAAGGAACCCGATGATCTGCATGTATCTGCTAAACGCGAGGAACACTCAATTGAAGCTGAGATCTGAGAACGCCCATAGCACAGAGCTAGAAGTAACCGTAACAGGAAGGAGGATTGCCTCGAAAGGAAGGCGGCCTTCATATTAAGTTGCAATTGGGCGCCGTAGCGTCATCGCCTTTTTCGCACCAAGTGTCCCCTTCGACGCTTGTACTCACTCTAAGTTTTCCAAGTCCCGCAGCAGCTGCAATCCCAGCTGTGCGTCTAACTAACTGATGTGGCCCTGTTCCACAGGTACCGCCATATGCATTGTCGAAGGGCCCCTCGCAGACTGCAGCCCGTGTCCGCGGATGTGCGGCAGACACCCAGGGAGAGGGATGAGCAAGGTATGATTTTATCTCTAGGTGAGCACTGAGCCTGACAGTTACCTACTAGATGGGCTCTTCTCTCAGTTATAGTCATCTTAAGCTTGGTGCCTTCTCCACGGGTATCGGTTGCTTTGCACTCATTGCAGGTGCATAGAACCCGGCGACTGCCTTGCTCGACAGCGAAATGCTGCTAAGAGCCATTTCAGTGAAGGGGGTTACGTGGTCGAGGTGTACAGACAGCGGTCGTTCGGGTTCAATCATCCCCGAGCAGCAGCTCCAGGCAACCTTCGAGAACGCGGACGTGCGGTACTGGTGGGAACTCTCTGCGAAATCAACGTCGGTATGCGGGTAGTTTTTTTAATTTATGCCCGCGCGGGAGAACGCTCACCCATGTGCGTATCTTGCCACTGAACCACTTGATAAGTCCGCCGAAGAAGATCATCATGCGCTTTGAGTTCAATGAGTAGCACTGCGAGCAGCCTCTAAGTGAGTAAGTACAACCAGCAGGTCCGACAAACCCTGAAACCGCCATCGTGATACAGCAAGCGTGCCGAACACCAGAAGAACAAACACACACGCACTCCCGCTGCCAGTGTCCATAATCACGAGCGACAACTTTTGATTGGGAAGAACAGAGGAACAAGAGAGGAACGACGACGATCTCATCGCGCGTACGCGCACAACCAGAGATATAAATACATCTAATGCTCCAGCCTTCAACCTGTCTGCGCCCCCACAGCCTACACGACACCGATCAGCCGCCAGAATCAAGAAGACGCAGTACAGCAGGACAATGCGCACCAAACGCTTGAGATGCTCCATGAACACCTGCAAACTGACGTCGTCCGTGAAGATCGCCTGCCCGGAGGCTGCAGTCGCGGCAGTGCCGTACATGCTCGTGGACATGTGCGTCGTCGACGGGTTCAGCTTCGAGAGCAGGAACCGCGCCTGGCTGCCGCCCTGGTCGCAGACGATATACCGGGGAATGGGGAAGCGATCCACGAGGAGGTCCTACACGCGCAATTCAGTCCGGAAACTACGACTAGCGGAAGATGCCGAACTGACCTGGGCATCGGCGACGGGCGCCTCGAGGAGCTCTTTGAAGTTTTCGTAGCCCTCTTGATCTTGGTAGCCCGCCTTACGCCACTGCGCCACGGTCTCGCCGTGGAAGATGAGGATATGGAAGAAGGTGTCAAGAAGTAGGACCACGTCGGGTTTGATGGAGACGCTGTCGAGGAGGACAGGCTGGGGTGGTACGTCAAACGTGTACGACATCAGCGTGGGCTGTATCATGATAAGAGAGTTGTTAACATCCTCCTCGTCCAAGACATGTCTGCAACGCGAAGTACGAACGCGTGAGCGACGCGCTATGACACGACGGACAAAACAAACCTGTAGAACGCCGTTTCATCGGGACTGTTGTTGAACACCTGCAGGAACTGACTTCTCCGGAGGTGGAACATGAACTGTGGGTAGATACTGAAGTTGTCCGACAGCCGGAAACTCGTGGGGTCTTCTTTCCTGTAGTCCGCGAATTTCTGGCACAGGCGAATGAGCATGCGATCCAACCACCGCAGCACGTCCGGCGAGTCGTCGATTTCCGCCTTGAAGACCGCAATACGCGCCATGAGCACCGCGGCTGCCTCCTGGTCGAACGATGCTGCAATAGTAGGGGAGCCCGCCTCGGCGAAGTTGCGCGCGATGGTCGTCACGCGCAGGCGGAGCTGGCCGGAGGAGTGCTGATAGTGCGTAACGAACTGAATGAGCCCACGCGAGCCCTGCTGCAGAGGCTGCCCCGCGGGTGTCACCACTTCGAAGTATACCGCTGCGGCGGTGCGAGGTGTGATGGAGTTCATCCTCCAAGCCGACGTCTGGCCAATACCGATCTCCGTCTCACCCACACAAGCCGACTTCTTGCCTGCTGAGATAGCATGTCCGATAAGTCCCGACACTTTGAGCTCTTTTGTTGTCTAGCCATGTTGTCAGCGCCGTCAAGACAAAATTGTTTCAGCATATACCCACCTGCACATCGAAGGTCGCGTTGAATCCCATTTCTAGCTGCCCTTGCTCGTCCTTGTTGAACATGCGCAGGAAACTTTGCTTGAAAATAGATGTGGAGAACGAATCAGACAAGACGATCACACCGTTTGTTGAATTCGTCAGCGACTTCATCTCCAGTATCCCGACCTGATCAAGACATCCCGCTAACAAGTCAATAACATGGCCATTATTAGATGCTCTCTTCGCCAGACCCTCGTAGAACTGCAAACTGTCAGAACAAGGTGATGGCTAAGGTAGATCGGTAATACCTTCATCGCACGCTTGAAGTGCTTGGCGGTGTCACGGTCAATGTCGTGGTGTGAGCGTATCGGCTCCCTGAGCTCGTTATTTACAACCATCCCTGGGCCCTCGGTCGCCGGACCACCAGCAAACACCATAATACGCGCCCCAGTGTTCGGAAACGTCGTCTGAACACGCGTCAATCACAGCTTCATTGCCTAACCAGCTCTCTCACCTCCAGCATGCCAACGGCAACACTAACAGCGACGCCAATACAGCGCAGCGGCCTCTTGTCATTCGCGACAGGCCATGGGTCACGCGTGAGCCCTTCCAAAATGCCGGTCAGCTGGAACTCGCACTGCTGCACGGGCATCAGGAATCGCGCCGCGCCGAACGACTGCTGCGGCATCGGCTGTCCCGGTCGTGGTGCCGCACGGTTTTGCGCGCTGAGCCCGAGCATTTCCTGGATCTGCTTCGGCTGATACTCCTTGCCGCCCCGGAACACGTATGATTTGGTGCACTCGGCGTACCCCAGCTCGTGCACTTGTGTCTGTAGAGGTATCAGTGCTGCGTCACGAGGAGAGGAGAGGAAGCGTACCATCGTGCCATATGTGATAAGCCCGACAAGCGCGAACGGCGGTAACAGACCCAGACTGACAACGATTGTGTCTCGCAGCGCCTTCATCTCGTCCTCATCCAAGCAGGTGTCAACGACAAGGAGGAAGATGGGCGGGACCTGCGCAGGGCGAGAAAGCGTGTATTCAATCGTTGTGTATTTTGGTAACAGCTCCGCGGGCAGGTTCGTGTTCGAGATATCCTTGTAATGCGGAGGGAAAGCATTCCGCTGCAAACAGAAGGGGCAAATCCACAACTTTCCGCGGATGTCAATTTGGCTGCAAACGCTACATTGACAGGTGATCGCTGCGTATGTTTGTGCGCACACACCAGTACGGGTTGAGCACTGCGCGACATGGCGGTTTGCAGGTCACGGGCTCGTACAAAACGGGGGGAAGATCTTCGCGCTGCTTGAGCGGTGTGTACAGGGCAGAGATGGGTACTACTGTGCGTGTAGCCTCTATTCTGGACGATGGCCAGACATTCCAGGATAACCTCACGCCTGCAAAACGGTCAATGGCTCTTCCACCTCAGATTCATATGTTGCCCACCGTCGCGCTCCTCGACGTCTTCAAAATTAAGCATCGCCAGCGTGACTAGGGGCCCGATCCGGGAGAAACAGTGGAAAATTAAGTAGGAAAGACGAAGGTTGAGATAACTGTCGAGTCTTGCTCCGGTGTCGGCGACGTGTCTGTATGCATCTATTTGGAATGTGGCGTCGTCACACCGTGCGTGCTTGCACTCCAAGCTCAAATTTTATTTCGAACAGACAGCTAACCGAGCTAGCGAGACTATTATTCAAAGTACAAGTGTGTTAAATCCTCTAAGTAGATGCTCTGCAAGTCAACTCGAAGTGGGGAGGGCCGAGAAACACGAAAACTGGAAAGGTCAAGTGACACTTCCCCATATGGTGGTGAAGATCAATGTCGGGAGCAATGCGGGGAGCCAGGTACTGTACTGTTTCTTGTGTTCCCACTGCCGTCTGCTCGCCGACTCTCCTTTACAATATTGTCGCCGTCGTCCCCGTGGAACTTCACGTTGAGACTTCTGTTCCCGCTGTTTGGAGTGCGAATGTGCTGTCTGCTCTGATAGTTTGGCAACCATGCTCTCGTTCTACGAGTTCCAGCTCGTGGGCCTCGTATCATTCTGTCTACTCTTCTTACTGGTTGAGAAACAACTTTCACGTTGGAGGCAATCAAAACAGAAGGGTGACTTTACTGCAGAGGGTGCAGCGTCATCTAGCCCGTCTGGAAATGTCCTGGCGAAGCTAACCAGACAGTACTTGACCGTGTACGCTATAGTGATGGGTAAGCCTGTCAGATTCAGCAGCTGGGATGGGGCTGATCAATGGTGTGCTTGGCAGGCGCGGACTGGCTCCAGGGTCCGTATATTTACTCACTGTACAAGGAACAATATGCGTTCCCAGAACGCATGGTCGCCTTACTGTTCGTGACGGGCTTCACGTCTGCTGGTTTAATTGCACCATTAGTTGGTGTATGGGCGGACCAGCAGTGCGTATTTTAAGTTTGACGGTGTACGAAAGTTAACGGGATGTATAGCGGCCGCAAAAGACTATGTCTTACTTTCTGCATAACATATACTCTGGCTTGCATATGTATTCAATTACCCTATCTGCCGGTTCTGCTCGCCGGACGTGTCCTGGGCGGCATCTCTACATCCATCCTCTATTCCGCTTTTGAGACGTGGTTGATATCCTCCGCCAACTCTCTTGCTCTTCCCCAATCCGACCTGTCAACCATCATGGGCCGTGCGACGCTCGTGAATGGTTTCGTAGCTACCACCGCAGGGGTGGTGAGCAATCAACTAGTTGCTTTCAGTGGCTCATTCGCATCGCCATTTGTGGCGAGCGGGTTTTCGCTGCTCCTTGCGTGGGTGGTCATCAAGGGAACCTGGACAGAGAACTACGGTGGCGGTGGAGGAACCACCTCGGCTACTTCGGACTTCCTGCAAACGAGACGATTGTTGCAGGCATTCAAGATCGTCCGCCATGGTTTGTGCTGCAACCTATGAAGTATGAACGCGCAGCTGATGTTGCGCAGACCCACAACTTCTTGTCATCGGCCTTACTCAGACATGTTTTGAAGGCTCCATGTACCTCTTCGTCTTTAACTGGGTACCGGCGCTCCAAGAAGCATCTATGGACGCCTCCTCGCTCCCATTGGGCTACATATTCTCGTGCTACATGGTCGCCATGATGGTCGGGTCGCTGCTCTACACCTCCATCGTATCTTACTTCCAGCCATCCGAATCCGCCGGATCCGACGGGCCGCTCACGCTGCATGCCAAGCTGAGCTCGCTTGTATGTGCGGTCAGCGCACTGTCGTTCGCCATCAGCATTGAGAGCACGCAAGAACATGTGCGTTTCTGGGCGTTCTGCGTCTTCGAGGCTTGTGTAGGGCTGTACTATCCCGTACAAGGGATGCTACGCGGAACTCTCATCTCGAACGAACATCGCGCCACGGTAAGTTATATATAACCTATGTATCGCCTCCATTATATCTGATGTTTCTGCTCATTGTAGCTATCATCTCTGTTCCGTGTTCCGCTCAATATATTCGTGGTGGTCTCCCTACTCACGGGAGTCTCCTCGGCACGATATATGGTTCTAACTGCTAGTGCACTTATGCTCTTGTTTTCCTCGCTAATAACCGCGGCACTACTTGTCGATCATGCCAGCGACGCACCCTCACCACAACCAGCTAGACCGGCGTGAAGATTTATACCACAAACTCCAAAATTGTATAGATGGATCCATACCGTAATTTCTCATGCTGTGCACTAAGTTAGCGCCTCGAAGGTGCATCTCTCATCTGTACGATAGGCACGACCCACGAGTTCGAATGATCTGTAGCCTGCGGCGAGTTCGATTCGCGCTCTACTGCGGAGCGAATACCGAAGACCTCACTTGTCTCGTCGGATCAGCATCATGATCTGAGCTCTGGGGTGCCTGCTGTGCCTCAGGCTGGTGACTGTCAGTTACAGTGCGGGGCTCATGGTGCCGTTACGGCATCTGCGCTGAGCGCTCGAGGCTTCAACACCGAGCAACATCTATATTATTATCTGATAGTCCTGCATCCACCCTTTGTGCTGCCAGTGTCCCATCGAATCCGTCGCCTGTATCTCGCGGTTCGAAAAGGCACAGCGTCACATCAGCACGACGGTGACTTCTGGAATCTGTGATTTGTGAACTGAAGCATGATTGGACCATCTAACACACCTGCAGGGGTGCCTACTCACTCAGAACATTGACAGACGAGCAAACTGATGTGCTCCGATTGCTGCCGGTGTATCTGTGGACCGACCTCTTTGGATGGTGCGGATTGGGTCTCGGGACTGGCCAGCAGAGCTGCGACTTTGGTCTCTTGCGGATCTTCGGATCTAGCAAGACTTTATCATCCTTGTACTTACTCTACTGGCTGGCACTGTGCCTGGTGTCCAAGGTAGGTTCAGGACATGAAACGAGCGAGGTGCGAAGATCTCCCTTTTGTATACTCTTTCCTGTCTATCATTTCCTGTCTATCATTCTCGTGCAAAATCTCCGAGAAAACATCATCCGCCCAGTCCATCTGGCCGCACTTACTATGCTGACACCTGAAGCCCCTCAAAAGATCCGTGCGTGGTAGAAGTGATAGACAGATAGAAGTGTCTGGTGAGTATACTGAAGAGGCTCTTGACTGATACCGAATCCCCCACGGCAACACTATCAGTAGTGTGTATCACATAACAACTAGATATGGTTTATGGCGCTGACGTTGGCCGCGTCCATCTTGTCGGAGTGATAGCCAGCTATTGTTCTATTTCAGCAGGAGGTGAGTCAATACCAGTATCATTCGTGGCTTAACTGCTCGTTGGATACTCATCTTGCACACGTAGTGCTATTTTTCTACTTAACACTGAACCAATTCATCTGGATCCGTCGATTCACCGGAGTGACTGTACTATTGACCTTAAATCGATATATGATATTATTCGACTGCGTCATCAATGTCCTCGAAGTAGTCCTGGGGAAGTACCAGACGAACGTGGTACGTGTTGTCTTGCCCATGCTCTGGATTCGTCTTACGTTATGTCTAGAGATATCTTCCGTGGTTACCGCGCATATATCTCCTCTGACTATTGCCTGTTGCAAGTTCCTTTTTGTGTCAGAACCGGTTATGGCAAGCCCATTCTACGGCTGTAATGAAGTAAGACCGTGCCTCATCCAATTTGCTCCACTCTTACACTCGGATGATTAGGCGTACATCTAAGCAAGTACTCATCGAGAGCTTACAGTGGCTATGACCACTGGCATATCTGCTATTTCGGCGGACACTGTAGTTTTGTTCATCACCTGGTACCAGTCTTACGCAATCCATTGAAACACATGTCTTAATATGCAGCCATCGTTGATCTCGATGTTGCTGCGAGATGGTGCGTGTCAATGGATTTTGCGTGACTCCCGATTGTGAGCTTAGTCCCGGTCAGGGAGACTATACTTCGTGTAAGAGTGGCGAGATCCAAGCATATCAATCAAGCTGTGAATCTCTCGTCTCCGTCTCTGTTCAAGATCCTCATATACTCAAATTTGGGGACTTGGTCCTCATCAGAGCTGTTATGTGCAATCTCGTCAATTACTCTGATTTATCAACTGAGAATCTATGCTTGCTTTTTGTAGTCCCTCCATCCAATGACATACTTCGTGTACGTGTAAGTAGGCTTCCTCGTTATACTATCAAACACATGGCTTGCATAAAGATTTACAGCTATTCTCGTATCACGCTTCCTCCTCAATCTGCGGGAGGTGCATCTTGCCTCGTCCAATGAGAAGTTAGGCGAGGAAGAGCAATTCACGACAATCGCTTGCGTTCCCAGGTTGCAGTTTTCATGAAACATCACGGGAGCCCCCCTCCCGACGACTACGACCATGATCCGTGCAAGGACGCACCTCAGGCATCGCGTCATTTCCTGGCATACGGACTGGCACCTGATGAGTATTCGCCGCGACTACGTCAAGAGGTAAGTCTTTCGGGTCTGACAGATAGTTAGACTGCCCTTTATTGACAAATATCGAAAGAACAGGACGAACCGGACCAGAGTGACCGTCAGAGGTGCTGGCGGGTAGATATGAACGCTAAGACTTGGACTCACTGAGTGTATAGATGCCCACATGTCTACTATCTGACTGTTCTCCATTTCTAGGCTGTTGAGCTACCACACTGTTCCGGTCGTGTCTCCTTGCTGCACTCCTCAGTGCTATCTCGGTATTCATCTGAGCCTCCGGTGATCCGACGAGTTCTACAATTTCTGCCTCGTTCGAGCGAAGTGTTCGATCCTGATCTTTCAGAGGCAGTTCGTAACGACGAGCTTGACAGATCGTTGTAATCAAAATATCACTGGCTCCCACCGTGACGGAAAGTGTCAGTCTTACTAGTCCTTGTCCAAACCAGAGCTGATTCTGTGCTTGTTGATTTCCTCGAACCGTCGTTCTTTGCTCTTACGATGAAGACGGTTTCTACTACTGCCAGTTCTTTGGGAGATTACGGGCGAGGCAAGTCCGTGGGAGTTCCTGAAACCCCGATCATTGATACACAAGGGATGTGATTACGGTAAGTGGTCTGATGGCGCCTTGCGCAGCCTCCAGTCTTGACGCTCACACAGTCAGCCTCAGCCTTTGTAGCAGGTTTACGACCGTCGTAGTGCAAGGTGGGCTAATACGCAAAGTAGCAATCGCCGCTGTCAAAATTTCTGACTGGTATCCGTGGAAGACGTCTTGTACAGGCTTGCAATGGGAAGATATCATCCGTGTCCTATGAGAGCTCTATACGTGCTGGCGTTTTTGAGCGTCTGCAAGTCGCTGATGATAGGAATTCTCAACATGATCGATTGACCATGTACTGCATAGTGACTATATTTATACCTGCTGCGACCCACACCTTACTGCTGTGAGTATTTGCGAGCTTGTTTCCTGTACCTCTTTCTCGGTGAGTGTTTGAACTATGCAGTTTAACGGGTGAATCTAATTTTCAGTGGTGTCGGGGTCAAGAAGTTGTTGCCTGCGAGCCCACTGCTTCAATAATGACGAACAACGTCTCAACTCTCCTTACCGTTGACGATACCGACCCCCGCTTGATCTATGAAGGCTCATGGACCGAGTCCGAGAGCTCAGGAGAATACGATTCGACAGCCCACGGTACCGTAATCGCCGGTTCGTCGGTGCTATTTGTCTTCAACGGTTGGTGAACCTCCTTCATATTATCCAAGTGAAGTCATCTGAATCTAATCTCACAGGCACATTCGTCGCCGTGTACGGCACAGTCGGAACATCTGGGAGTAACTCAAGCTATGTCTTGGACGCTCTACCACCCGTTCAATATAGCGCGCCTCCATTTGCATCACCAGTTTATAACCAAGCCTTTTACTCCTCTGAGATTCTCACGAACGGGAAGCACAGCTTGAATATCACATCAACTGCAGACGGGGAGAACTTCCTGCTCGACTATTTGCAGTATACTACCACGGACCTTGGGGCGGCATCAGAGTCTTCGGCGCATCCTGCACCGACTTCTTCCTCTATCGGTCTGGCAAACTCCTCGAAGTCGCACATGACACTCTCTGCTGGCGTGATATGTGGGATTGTCATTGGCAGCATAGTCTTCTTGACTGTTGTCACATGTATCCTCCTTTGGATGCGCAGTTGGTGCTGCTTCAGGAGCCTTCGCGGTAGAAAACTCCGGCGAGGAGACGAGGTTGACATGCTTCTATCGGGTCAGTGATAACTTCTCACCAGTCTTCAATCGATATGATTAATGACATCTTTCCCGTAGACATGCCAAATGCCCCACCACCTACCATGGATATTCTCCGTAAATTCAAAGCAGATCTCCACCCTTCTGCGGTGAACATTCATGCACCTCCGACCTCATACGGCACCGAGTCATCTGCCGTATTTACCTCCGTCATATTCTTAACACCACCCGTGTCGACGGTTTCTGGCAATTCTGCGGGAAAAAATCGACAACATCCTCGTAATGTCTCATAAAATCTGATTTATCGCTGTCTCAATCGTGCACGGACTTCAGAAATGTGTAGAGCGAGTGGCATACATAGCAAGTACCGCACTTCTCCTGGATTCCTACCTACTACCTCTATCTCGCAGCTGTAGCCGTCTCGTGATTTCTTTCGTGTACTGCCCAGAGTTTGAGTTGTATATATAGTCATTTCATCTAGAATTTTTTTTTTTTGGAGGAGTGTTGTAACGGCTACCGGCGGCTCACTTGGTGAGTCCCAGCGGCCCACCCACTGGCTGCGGGAGCTTCACCCGTCACTCTTCCAGGAGGAAATGCATTATGCACGCCCATGTATTTAAGCAGTGTGGGACTCATTCCACTATCATCGGTCTGGTCTACGCCAGAGCTCAAGAGGAATGTTACCCACTAAAACCCCCTTTATATTAAGCCAATCATCAGGAACGTGTGTGTCGTTGAGGGTGCCGTTCCATGTGCTGAGCACAAGGTTCTTGTTAAGGGCTCGGCGGCCAATTCTTTTGTTGGTGAGGATGCGGTCTTGGTAGAGACGTTTGTTTATAGCAGCGTGCCATCGGGCATGAATCTCGCGGTCAGAGTGCCAGGTGGAGGGGTCAGGAGAGTCTCCTTTCTCGATGCGTCGTTCGCAGCGTATCTTCCAGATGAGGTATGCTGATTCTGAAATAAGAATACGATAGAGGCGATTCGCGCCTCGTCGAGGTTGTGCGCGATTGTCTGCGAACATCAGGAAAACCTTAACTTTACTTATGGGGACTTATCTGTCTTATTCAAGTAATTAAGATGTTTAAGTGTGTAAGCTGATCTCGATACTTGATCGGCTTGGCCGGTGGCTTGACTGGCTTGAAATAGCTTGATGCTTGATTTGTTGTTGCTTAATTAGCTTGAAGGTATGCAAATCACAACCGTACCAGCATCAATAAGAACAATAAGTATATTAAGTACAGTAAGTACATGCAAAATGCAACAATAACACCCATTGCACCGTCATACATATACAGATCGTGAGTTGCATGATCGCTAGTGGAAGGTGGTCAAAGCTGATGATGTGTCGAAAATGAGTTGGGCACCACACCAGGACTCAGGACTGGGTCATGGCTTGAGTGGGGATGAGCATTCAGATACTTGCAGAGAAAACGAGATGCACAGGGAGTTGCGAGCGTCTTCTGGATGTTGTGATATGAGTGGTGTCATCTGTCATCTCTGTGAGCAGTAAGGGCCATCTGAGGTGTCTGCTATGCAGAAAGTGCACCTGCAGTAATGAACACTGATACACTTCCAGACCTCCTGGCCTCTGAAAATGCATTTTCCAGCGATCACTCAGACCTCACTACTCTATGTCTTAGCCTCCAAGATGCATCTGACCCTTTCGCAACCTTCTGCGAACTTTTCTGACATCGTGCGACCTCTTGTTCGACTTCGCTCAATTCCTTGCGACTTCGCTCCGAGCTTCGACATTCTTTCGTCACTCATATGCCACTCTTGCATCTCCCCACTGTCAGATACCACTTACCCATTATCCTTTGGTCTCATCCGATGCGCCCTGGCTGATTTCCTTCAAAGTCTGTACTTTCCCGACATCGCGCTGCCCCTCTGGATGTTGTGCTAACTTTTTGGTGTTGCACGATGGTCATGACCTCTTGTTTTGCAAATCCCATTCCCTTTATCATTCGACCTTCCCCTTCAAGACCCCTACCTTTGTGCTGGACTGGAGATGCCATTAGAGTGTTTCATGTGGCTCAGGACAAGTAGCATATGTTTTCTTTCAATTTTCCTCTACTCTACTGTTCTTTTCCATCGCTAATGTATGACATTCACCTCTCCACTCCCTTTATCTATTTTTCCATTGGTCCTAGACCATTGCAACTCTTTCTGATGTCAGGATCCATCTTCCGACATTTCATGACTTTCACATTTCACCTCTCCCATTTTTCCCCTCTATAAATACCTGCTGTATCTACGTTGATTATCATCGAAGATTAGTAGGAGACTTCCCCCTTCACTTCAGATCACCGAAAAACTGTGATAGCGACTTCAAACTGCGATATACCTCACTGCAACATAGCGACACTGCGACACTGCAACATAGCGAGACTGCGATACTTCGAGACTGCGTACTGTGACTGTGATAGTGACATAGCGATATAGCGATATAGCGATATAGTGATATACCACCTGCATTGGTCTTAATCCGACTTTTGCATTAGACTGATCGCAACTTCGTCAAGATAGCGAATACTGCATTCCCCCATAGTGTTCTACCCCCACAGATAGTTCCCTTGCCCTTTGCGATTTAGTTCATCTTCGCCTACGAGTTTGGCAATTGCGTCGCGACTTTAGCTTCCTACCTTCGACTTTTGCAACTTTGTTGTAGATTGTCGCCCGACTTTGCATTTACATCGCGAGCCCTCATTTTCTTACAGGTCACATCCCCCCTTTGGCTTAGGTCGAGGTTCTGGGACCCACTTGCTTTATTTTACAGTTGCGATGCCCTTCCCTCACACACAGATCACCCCTGCTTCTTGGTTGTTTTAGTTGGGTTTAGGTGTTTGTGTCAGGTGTGCACTCATCAACACAGGCACAGATAAGGAGGTGAGACATGTCAGTGAGGTGAGCATGTGAGAGACCTTGGCAGGAAGAATAGACAGAGAATGCACCTGGGCAGACGTGATCCCTGCTCCTGCACATGAGTCGATAGGGAACATTTCTCTGCACATAATGTTGAGGCCCAGATGGAGAGGTCACTAGGTCGAGCGGCACCCATGCAGGTGAGGGAAGATGGGTTGTATGCAATGGAGGTGTTGACTTTGCTGGATGGCGAGTGGAGGAGTCAGTCAGGAGGTGAGTGCAGCTGCATGAATGCTGGTGGCAGAACTGAGGGCAATTGCCTGCAGAATGATCTCTCATGCAAGGTTGATCACCTGTTAGAGTCATGAGTTGACCACCTGAAGGGCACACACATTGCATCAAACCTCATTACTGCACACTCATACAGTCAGATGGCAGTTACAATTGTCATGATCAAGCCTATTTGGGGGTGAATGGATAGTCATAGGAGAGAGGTACACCTAAAGGGAGATGTCAGCACTATGGTGGACCTTCAGCACTATGCCTGCTCACTTGTTGCATGAAAAATGTGACCAGGAGCTGCTCATCTGAAAGTTCAGAAATGTCTCACTGATGAGAGTGTCTTCTGCTGGGGATGGTGTAAAGTGAGAAGAGAGGGGGACAATACACTACATGGATGTGTTATGAGTTCAATGTTATTCTCGTACTCTCCAATGCTTGTCCATCACACCATGCTGGAATCCACAAGCTCTTCAGACGTCTCATGTGCTTGCCCTGTAAGTGTGCATAGTTCCAATCTTGATATTGTATCATGGCAGCATCAAGTGAAGGTGAGAAAGCAAATAACAGGGCACAGAGGGAAATCAAGGAGAAAGAAGGCAGGCTCGTGCCACACCAGAAGGACTTGTTGGATTTCAAACATCCAAGTCACATGACCACATGAGTCACATGACCACACAACATATGTACAGAGTTGCACTCAGGGACACATTATGATTGTGACATAGCTTAGAGTGCACCTGTCACCAGTAGATGAGCAACATCAAACATGGCACACAGCAAGCAGCAGGAGTGCAGTGACCAGATTCATAGAGGGTGTATGTGGCATTGTCGCATGCACACCATCTATCCAATGAACAGCTTATCACATTAATGGACGCTCCCACAGCTTGATTGTGCTTGATGCTTAACGTGCTTGAGACCTTAAGATAAGTGTCAGCTTAGAGTGCTAAATTGCCTTGTTCCGGCAGCTTGACATCATGATTGCTTAGCACACTTATTAAAAGTATATTAAGTCCTGCCAAGTAACCAGTTAGAGAAATATCGGACATGTTATTAACTTTTTGGGCTTGCTGCCTTGGATAAGCGATCTAAGATAATCAAAATAAAGTTACGAGGTGAGAAGAACAAGTCGCCATAACTTCCCAAAGCAGCTGTCTCAAGGGAAAATTTCTGGCAGTTCCAGAAATTTTCCCTTGAGAGTACTCACTCATGTCTTTGCTCAGCCTCTCTGAGGGTGACCTGCAGGTTCTCATCAACTTTGTCCATTCTTCAGTGTTATAGATCTCCTTCAGGGCTTCAGCGACCTCGTCAATGTGAATGTACTTCTACTACTATATAAATATGAATGCAGTGTTGTGCGCATATGTGCTCATTTCAGTCACACCAGCATAGCAGAAGACTTTTGCCAGGAATTGAATGACTCTCAGCTTCCCTTTATAGGGAAGGGCAAGCTCTTTGTCAAACAATCCACATTATGGCAATACACTTCGGTTCACTTAGTGTCCTTGTTCTGCTCAACTCCTCTACTAGCTTATGTTACTTACCAAGTATATACATTAGTCAACTTATCGGACTTGACATGTATGCTTAACTGCCTTATCTAGTGGCTTAATGTCATAATTACTATTTCTACTTACTAATATAAACTAAGTAAAACCAAGAAAGGCCTCAAAATATAATTTAAGACTTAGTTCCCTTATTGGACTTGACCCCTTAGATAAGATGCTTAAGCCAATCAAAGTAAATTTAAGGTTTTCCTGATGAAGGAGATCAGGGTGCATCCAAGGATGGTATCTAAGGAGAGAGTGGGCCATGACTTGAGATTTTCTGTCTCCAAAGGAGTTCAGTTAGGAACCAGATAAGTTGTTGCCCAGACGCACGACATTCAGTAAGGATATGTTTAAGTGATTCAGTTTTATTGCATACGTGGCATAAGGCTCGTTCTTCATAGCGGGGGATTTTTTCCCAGAAGGTGCCGCATTTCTGGGTGCCATGTAGCCCTTTTCAGAGGAAATCTGATATGGGGCATTCAAAGTTGGAGGATCGGACTGAGCGCCATATTGCGGCATCAGTGTGGAAGATGTTAGTGATGGAGAAGACCGCATGGTGGGTAATGTTGAGGTTAATGGTGATGGAGAGACGTTGTGGG